GCTGCTGATTACTACCGAATATCCGGAGCCCGAAAAATGTATTCGGGACAGCCCTAGAAGACTGTAGCATAGTCCCCATTTTTTTAAATTGTATCTCTAGGAGTACATTTGAGTAATCCGATGGGAACACCCATTATTTTTTGGGTTGACAGTTGTCTACGCTCTCCAGTTTTCCCAACGTATTGCTTGGTCTATGAAGTGGTCTTCAAACGTCTTGTTGTATCGTGTTTAAACCCCAAAGATACTCAGTTTACAATGATGTTAAACAGAGGAAAGTCAAACATCAACACACTGGCTAATCTGGAACAAGTGTGTGTTTGGTATTTAATCTATTGATGGATTATTCAGCTCATCGTTGGAGCTCTCGTCCATTTGCAGTTTAAACCTCACCCAGATACTGCAGTATTTTGTGTAAACAGTACCAGATTTTATTCAGTAGCGTGTTGTTTTTATTCACACACGTTGGTGACACGTGAGTTGTAATATGCACTTAAAATTAAAATTACATTTTAAAATGATGAGTATCATAGGAGGAAATTACATTTGAAGTATCTGTTTGACGTACTACTTTAAAGCAGATGTGTGTCTCTTGGCGTAAAGAAGTGGAATTATTTTTGCAGAATGATTTCAAGGTCTGTAAGAACATTTTGATGTTTAAGAAATTGTACAAAGAAAGCGTAATTAGACAGTATGAAGTTGACTTTTGTGTTCTGGTTTTATGTTTCAGTATTTGTAAGCAACTGTGACTGAAAGAATATTGCTTTTATTTGACGTTTAATGGTTATTTCATTATTATTATTCTTTGTTATTTTTTGTTAAGAAGGGGCAGGTCAAATAAGATTTTCTTGTACATGTTTTGTTTTAAAAAAAAAAGAACTGCCATGTGTGGAATAAATAAATAAATACATCTGAGAGGGGTTTAAAGTCCCACAGATCTGTTGGGATGAGCAGGAATGAAGAGTCACTGCTTCCTCTTCTTCATCATCCCTCTCATCTTCTTCTTCTTCACACACATCCCCCCCTCTCTCTCTCCAATCCTCTCTGTTTCTCCCCCTGTCATCTGGATCCTTGTCAGGAGTCTCATCCTCACCGGCAGCTGTTGCCATGGCGGTTGTCAATGCTCTCCCAACTACCTGGGCTGGTATTTCCATGGACACAAATCGGGATGACAGGGATGCGAGGTGTGGGCGGGGGGGCAGCTCTCCACCGTCAGCAGTTTGTTCGTTAGAGACCGACAGGAGGAGACGGAGGAGGAGGAGGAGGAGGAGGAGGAGGATTAGGGTCCTGGAAGATATTAAACAGAGAGGGGGAGAGTTGGAAAAGAGTGAACATGAGAGTGAGAGGCCTCTGTTCATCGGTGATTTCTTCTTCATGATTTCCCATTTGTTAATGGACGATTTCCCACTTCCTTTTACGCTCAGAGTTGTTCAGAAACATACAAAAAAGTGACAAATAATCCTGTTGAACCCCATGGCAGTGTCTGATTTAACCCTGTAGCTAATCCAATAACACCAGAGTGGACACAATACCATTTTAATGAAGTTATAAACAGGTTTTCGTGCCCTTCATGATGCATTACAAACTCTGGCTGTAATAAAGAGACTCTTTAACGCATCTGTTAACATGGGAGGAAATGGAGGGGTGATGGTGAATTATTAGAATCAGACTGAAGTACATAGACTTTGGTATCATATATATTAACAATAAAAAGATTAGTTCATAACATGTAAGCCAACATTTCTAAAACTCAGCATACAACACATTGATTGCTGTAACTGTTGTCTATGCAGATACTTAAATGATTGTGCTATGCCCATAATATCAGACGAGGCATTGATCAGACCTTGTTTGCATGAATGGAGCAATATGTTTGTTAAAGGTCCCATGTCATGCTTTTCTGGTTATTACCCGTCCCCCTTGTGTGTTATGTAGCTTTACGGTACGTTACGTCCGCGAAGCCGTTACGTTTGGACCAATCCTCGGACTTCCTCACACACACACACTCGGCGGGACGTTGCGAGGCTCGCTGCTGCGAGGAGTGGGACACTGTGAGCTGGCTCACTGGTGTGGGGTCGGCGAGACAGCGAGACACCGCGGAACTCAGCCTGGGCACACACACAAACTCCCAGCCAGGCTGCGTGCGTGCGTGCGTGCGTGCGTGCGTGCGTGCGTGCGTGCGGGCTGGGTTTTGCGGTGTCTCGCTGTCTCGCAGACGGCCACTGGGCTCACAGGAAGGGGGGGGGGCAGGAGCTCCAACAAGCCGTTTAGGACAGAGAGTGAATACACATACTATACAGAGATGCTGTATGAGAAACCAATGTGAGTTTGGAAAATTGAACAATGTACATTTATTTGAGTATACCTCACCAATGGAATTATGATCAGTAGAAATGGCCATGCCATGGGACCTTTAAGGCTTGATAAATTGTCTTTCTCTGCGTGTAACACAACAAATATTTGAGATCATAATAGCTTATTATACTGTATATCAAACACCTCAATGAGATAATGTGATTTAAATTGATCAAATAGCTTTTTTGTAAACAATATACTCTAAACCTTTACCTTATGTTGAATAGAAACGATCCAAAACCGAATCTTTGAGGTCAACACAGGTATAATAATATGAGCTAATAATATATTAATAGACTGAAAGAGTTTCATAATGTTTTAATTGTTTGGGACATTTCGAAGGTTAACATGATGAATCATTACTGCTTCAACTAGTTTTCTTAAGACCTATTAGGTTGGTGGCTAGTGTTTGAAAAGCAATTCTGTTAATGGTTAGATTTAGTGATTTTACTTGAATTTGCCTCATCATGCTCACCTGATGGATGTTTCTCCACCCTGTCTCTCTGAGCTAAAGGCTCCCTGCTTTCCTATATGCAGACGAGGTGCTCAGAATACTTTTAAGCAAACGTTGATCTGCTTTAGATAACACCAGTCCTGTGAAATAGGTTTAACATTTTCGATTTCACGTCCACCAAAGCCTGGTTGAAGTCGCTCAGATCTCTCCCTGCGACGGAGAAAATCAGTCAGATAACAGACAGCCGTCACATAAAGCTGACATTCTCCTTCTCTTATCCGCCTGCATCTTTGGGACATCGATAATACTCCTGTTTGTAAATCTCATTTCTGTGGCTGTGAGGCAGCAGGCACTCGGGCCCCCCGCAGCCTCTCCTCCTCGTTGACCCCCGTACAGCCGAGCAATCAAGGACAGCCGCAGATATCACACTGAGCGCCTCGCCGTGAAAGGCCTGAGTTTCTCTTAATAAAACGAGACGAGGGGCTGCGGCTGACTGCATTTCCTCCGTCAGGCCCCCCCGTTGACCCTCAGTCAGGCCCCCCGCTGACCCTCCATCTGTGAGTGGCACTCTGACTGTTCACACTGTCAGTGAGCTTTGATTTATGGAGAAAAGCACATCCTCATAATGTCAAACCTTATGCATGTGCAAGTGTGTGTTATTTGGAGTGTCTTGCTAGCTGGCTCCATCTGCTTCCAGTCTTTATGTTCACCCAAGCTTATTGTTTACTGCCACGACATTAGAGCGGTCTTCTTATCTCAATTGTGGGAAGACAAATGTATAAGAAACTAGGGCTGTGCAATTAATCGTATTTTAATCGCAATTACGATTTTGGCCTGCCACAATTACGAAAACAACATAATCGTAAAAAACGATTATTTTGCTTTGCTTGGTTGTGACCGTGCACTGCAACATATTTGATCTAATTTATTTTAGTCTTAATTTATTTGTATTTATCATATTTACATATGTTTAGTAGCTTGTTGAAGTGCGCTCCAAAATATTTGTTGATCTTGTTTATTGGTATTTATTATTTTGATATTATTTATTTAAATGTGTCATTTATTTAATTTATTTTAGTATTGGTTTTTCAGTTGAATTATACGTTCAGGGTAATCAACAGTTAAAAAGATACTGTTCAAATGATTATTTGTATTTGTTTTAAAGTTCAATAAATGGATGTTTTCAAAGTCAATGAATAATCGTATTTAATAATCGTGATATCAATTATTCACCAAAATAATCGTGATTATGATTTTTGCCATAATCGCACATCCCTATAAGAAACCACCACCGAACACGCTTTTCTCCCCTTCTGAAACCGAGCAAAGATAAACATGTCTCCTCTTCTTCTGAAAGAGTTCACAATCACTCTGTTATTCCACTGAATATTACAAAACTCGAGGAGTTTCAGGAGAGGTGCTTCACATCTGACTCTGTGTGTCCTCGTTGAGCGGTTTCAAATGGATGTGTCGTGTTTTGACTGCTCGAACACAGTTTCCCTTTGCACCAAAACACATGTCGTCTGCACAGTTTTCTCATTTGTTCGTCAGTGTTTGTTCTCCTTATAACAACTTGGATGCTTTATATAAGGTTGTTAACATCCTGAATGACTGTGCAGATCAAAATAAATAAAGAATGCATCAGCACTTTCTCATATGTAACTATTTGTTTGCTTTGACTCATAAATGCAATTTACTATTACATGAATATGCATCGTCTGACTTGCCTTGTTGTCTGAACGGTGTAAATAAACATCCCTTGTTTTGCTCACAGCTCTGAAAACATTTGTCTACCTGCGTGCTGCTGCTGCTTTGTGCTTCTGTACGATGCGACCCCCGTGCCTTTTGTACTCACGAGAGCCCTCAGCCAGTGGATGTTTTTGGAAGCAGAGCGGTGTCACGTGAAGCCCTGCTTTCACTCTCGCACCGATCAACAGTTTACACAAAGCTTTTGACGGCTTTCCAAAGAAATTCTGCTTCACAGTGAGACATCTTTAGAGGCGAAGGACGTTCGGTTTATGTGAGCAAACCGGTTCAATCACACACAGCCTCGAGTTTCCTCTTTACTCAGGAGAAATGATTACACTGAAGAAGATAAGTGTTGTTTTGATTTGAACTGAAACAGACAGAGGTCTTGTGTGTAGTCTACCACAACAGTAATATCTCAAGCTCTTTCTCTGCGTGTGTTTCTCAGGGGATTCCTTCACTCAATTCCGGTTTTCCGAAGAAAAGGACTGGGAGATGGACTCATCGGCAGACAGTCAGGTAAATCCATACACTACCTAATCTGCAGCATTGCTTCTCTGTCTTTTATGGATGGATCCCACTTTGTGAGGTATGGATCCCTCGAAGGTCTGGATTTGGAAATGCAACAGCAGTTAGAAAACAGAAAAAGCTAATATAGCATTGTTAGCGCATTAGCAGCACATCTGTTGGTGGGTTGGTCCCTCTCTTTCGTCCACACTGACATATTTACACTATTATCTGAAAGGTTGGCGACACATTTTGCAGAGACATTCATGGTTCCCAGAGGATACATCAAACTGAATTTGGTGACCCTGAGACTTTTTCTCTTGCGTCAACACAAACTTGAAATGTCTCGATAATTGCTGAAGAGGTCAACCTTATGAGAACTGCTAAACCAGGTGTGTTAAACTCAACTCAACCAAGGGCATCACTGGAAAATGAGGCTTCTCACGTACGATTTGGTCCACATAAAACCCTAAAAAGTCACCTTTAAAAAGTTATCTTGTAAGGCAATCATGTGTTATCCCTACTACTCATTACAAATCTGATGAAAAGCAAACACTATACAAAAAAAGTCATCATCCAGTCTGGTGATATAACCATTCCTGAACTCTTTCTACTTCATGAGCAGCAGTGTTTTGTACAAAGGAGTATTGATCTGGATTCGACTTCTTGCAGTATAATGATTACAAAAGATGTATGATGTTACTCTGAAGTTTGAAGTCTCCATTTTACAGCCTGTTTTCTGGTTTCCTCTCTAGATGTCTGCAGTGTTCATCGACCTCCCGGCGCTCGCCCAGATCCTCCAGCAGGTGCCTCTCCATCAGAGACTCCACCTGGAGGAGGAGCTGCTCCAGGTAGGCTGTGACTGCAAGGCAAAACAAGCGAAAATATCAGAAAAAAGTCTTAGTTTATGATTATAGTTTGTTGACAATATGACCAAATAAATCGTAGTAAAGTATGTCCAAAAAACTCCATATTATAGTATTTAAAAATTAAAAAAACCTCATAGCAAAGTGTGTTGAAAATATCAGACACTCATATACAATGAGGTTTTTTTCTGACATACCATGACTTTTTTTTCAGATATTTTTGGAAAACCTCATAGTATGTTGAGAAACTCCATAGTACTGTATGTCAACAAAATAAGGTCATAGTATAGCATGTTGAAAATATCTGAAACAAAACGTCATATATTTGTATGTCCAAAATATCTTACATACTTTACTATGATGTTTTTTTTCGACAGATTATACCATTACTTTTTTTCCTGATATTTTGGAAAACCTTAGTATAATATGTTGAGAAAAACTCCATAGTATAACATATTACTGTATGTAAAAAAAAATGTGGTCGTAGTATAGAATGTCGAAAAATATCTGAAAAAAAGTAATTGTCGACAAAACGTCATAGATTTGTATGTCTAAAATATCACAATAAAGGTCAGAGTATAGTATATAAGTATCACACTGCCTTGTTGCAGGTTTGAATTGTAATCCTGTTTCAGGTCACGACCCCAGTGGAGCTGCCTACAATGACCTTCACTCACAAACAGGAAGTTCCCAAAATGGCCGCCTTCACTCCTCCGTCTGCAGCGCTGAAAGTCCCCTGCTCCGACCAGAAGGTCCCCGTGGCGACACACCCAGCGACGGCCTCACACTCGCAGGTTCCCTCGCTGGTGGACGATGAGGGTGATGAAGAGCTGGACCAGCTGCTCGGTCTACAGAAACCAGTCTCAGGAAACCAGTCCGTCAGTTTGGAGGAGGACAGGAAGGTTCCAGAGAAAGGTGATTTTATTCAGCGTGTCTTTTGTGCGTCTTTCTTTGTTCAAGTTTGACATTTTGGGAGTGAACTGATGACACAAGGAGCCCTTTTTAACTAACATGTGTTTGTTAATTTTGCAGAATGTGAGGAAGTGAAGGAGGTAATACAAGAGAAGATCGTAGAGGTGAAAGAGAAAGACGTCACACCGCCTAAATCTGCATCCGTCAAGCAGGAAATGACGGAGGACGACCTGGAGGACTGGCTGGACAGCATGATCTCCTGACCAATGAAAGGACTTAAGATGGACGATGTATATAAAAAGGGAAATGGACTTTAATTGTCAGCCTGAAAGCTATTAAAACATCTGTGTGCTGGACAGATGTTTGTACAGTCAAGTTCCAGCTTCTTACTTTGCTCTTTGCTGAATGAAAAGAGGCAGTTTGTTCATTAGTTACCATGACAGTATTTCAGGTGTAGAGACAGGACAGTATGTCTTTCTAAAATGTGTCAAAATGTTCCTTTTGCACGTCATGTTTCAGAGAAAGAAGTAACACAAAGAGACAGATGGGACACGGGGCTTTATTGCGTCAACTTCTTTATTCATTTCCTCCCCCTCATCAAAAGAAATGCAGATTACCAAAGCTACTACATACATAGAAATGTCATTACAATAGCAGTGAACTGTTTAGTCGTCAATAAATACTTGAACCAAGATTAGTTTTTTTTGTTTTTTCTCTTTTTGGGGCCCTTCTACTGTAAGAGGGCAGGACACCACCACTTAGAAATCAAACCAAGCAACATTTACACAAGGATGATCTAAATTTCATACAATAAATGTTCTCTCTGAATAATTTAATCGTTTTAAAAGCCACGAAACTAGCTTGAGCTAATTCTAAACCACTGCTTGTGTCAGGAGGGACGAAAATGATAAATGTTTTTTTGCATAGTTTCTCTTAAGGCACGTCGGCACTTGATAAAACATCTTAAGTGAGACGTCTCTGGTCCTGGAAGAACCATCTTCTGTAGCGTTTCATCGGACAGATTTGAAAAGGCAGATCAGGTCTCACTCACTGTGTGGTTTGATGTTAGCAGGATCATCACTAGCAGCACACATCCATTCAGGTGCTTTGGTAACAAGTGACTCAAACATCCTGGTGGTAATCTAGAAATTGTGCATATTCAAACATTCAGTTGTCATGCTGTAACCCTTCGCATGTATCAAATGTCTACACACAACAAATTGTGCAAGAGGTTGGGGTTAAGCAAGAAAAAGGCAATGTGAATCAAAATAATTTGCATAAAAGAGGCGTCGTGGCAAGTGACTTTTCGGTAACAAGGAAGAGGATGCACAAACCCGAAATGTCCAGTCGCACGTCTTAAAATCATTTTTCTAGACATGATCTTTTGTGAATTCAAAATGAATGACTATTTTTTTCTCAACACCATGGCAGCAGAGAAAGTCCAGCGAGTGTTCAGGTTCTGGTAACAGGGGCAAGTCAAGCTCAGTGTCTCTTTCAGTTAGAGGAGAGCAGAGAGGCTGATCCTCTCTAACCCAGCTGGTCCTCGTACTGCTTCCTGAAGCAGTCTCCAGTCGGGAAGAAGTCCCAGCATCTCTCCTGGTACATCTTCCACACATAGGACTCCTGGAGAGGGGGGAGAAACAGGAGCAGAGCTGATGGTGTGGACGGGTTCATAAAGGGGCTCAATATCAGTTCAAGTCAGTTAACCCTTATGTTGTGTTCGGGTCTCCCGTGACCCGTTTCAAGTTCAAATGATATAATAACTACGCTCTAGTTTTTTTTTATGGGAACAAGGCTTCATGATATCCTCCACAACAGCTATATAAACACTACAAAACTCATTTGGACCATTTTTGCCAAGTCTGAAGGTCTCTTAAAAGAATAGTGTATAATTTGGTGTTGGGGTCTGGGGAGACCCAGCAGAATTGTTGTGGGTCACTCCGGGTCAAATTTGGCCCAATCAAGATTCGTCTTTGACTTTAGACACCCCTCCCCCACCCCCTTCATCAACTGTAACAATTTTTCGCAACATGCACCTGGTCTCCCCTCCCCCCACGGGAACTCCACCTTTCTCAAAGAATATGTACACTAACACTTGAACCTGAACACACACATGCACGTGTCCAATATGTGGTGTAATGTGTTTTGGGCCATAATATTAAATTACAACAGGATTGCACGGTTATGAATGCATAATAAGTTACTTATGATGTAGTTAAAACAATATTGGATGATAGTCATTTATTTTGTGTGTTTTGGACTGAGATAAATCATGGGTCAAAATTGACCCGCGAATACCATGAACGGTAACAGCTTTTGAACACAACACACGGGTTAAAGAAAGCAGGGTATGGTATGTATATTCTTAACAACCACTTAAAGTCATAGTAAAGCATATAAGAAACATTGATGTATAATATGTAGTATAAAAAACGTCATAGTATGTCGAAATAAATCTTCATATAATAATGTATAAACAAATCTGAAAAAACATCATAGGATAGTATATTGAAAATATCAAACAAAATGTCATGGTATAGTATGTCTTCACAATATGTAGAATCGTATATTAAATAGTGAAGTCTTTCAAATGTCATAACAATCTTATATTTGACAGAAGATATGAACAAGCCAAGTATAGTATTGCATAAATCATACAATAACATGTATATTACAGTATGTCATAAGAAATATTAAAGTCAATTAAGTCAGAAATCTAATATGTCATATCAATGTTGATGAAATGGCAAAGTTTATAGCTTTTTAAAGTTATTAAATGTCGCTTTATAATGAGGCATAACAAAAATCATAACTACTATTAAATGTTTTTGTATTATCAATAATGGAAACCTGTTTTACAAAAGCAGTTAGTGAGGACTGCTTTCACACAGACCCTGACCACATGCCTTAGTTTTAATAAGTGAAACATGTGGAATGAGAAACAGGAAATCACAGCTAGCTAGTTTGAAAGGATACATACTGTGTAACACTAAGAAAGATACTGCAGTTCATGTACCATCAGGAATCATTTGGATTGAGACCTACATTGATCTTATTTTCTGCAGAATCACTAAAAACGTAATCATGTTTCCAACGTGATATTCTTTAGAAGCATCTGAATGTGTTCTCTGCATGGAGGAGCTGCACAAAGTGAGTTGTATGTGTGACATAAGAGCAGAGCTTGCACCTCAAATAAAAACAACTTCAGTCTCAGGTGCAGGACAACAACAACTTCATATCCCACACATCTTCCTCCTGCTAAACTTATGCAACATAACAAGTGGGTTGAAATGTTGCACAAGTGAAACCTGCTGAAGTTTCTGGAACTTTCCTATGCCGTCTTAATATTGATCGGATATCTCACGAGAGAAATAATGAATAAATAGTGAGTAAGTGTTCACGTACCTGACCCGTGTGTTCAGTCTCATCCTTGTTGATCAGGTACATCAGGAAGAACCTGCACACAGGAGGGAAATGTGAGAAATGTCCGCATTGTAAACAGAAATGTGTTTGAACTTTGCTTTGCTGCTGCACTCACAGGTAGTTCGCGAGGTTGTGTTCTTGTAAGGTGTGGGTCTCGAACCCGTGAGGCGTCCGGTCAAAGTAATCGTTCCCGATGCCACAGATGAAGCACTTAGTCTGGAGGAAGAAGGGGAGATGTTCATTTGTACTTAAATCCCCCGCTGTACTAAGGTCCATTTCACGTGTAGTTTTGTTCCTTTGGTATAAAGATATCTGACGGTGCTGACTTGTACCAGAGGGTCTTTTTTTGGAGATGTTAGCGTTGAAAGGGGGAGACAGAGGGGAGGATATTGCCGGACAGTGCTGGCTTTTTAAACACAAATCAAATGAACGGACTGACTGAAATAACATTGTTCATGTGTTCCTTGTTAATAATCTCTGGTGTCACATAGACACAGACACATATCATAACACAGCTGATTGTCAGCATTATTAGACAGGACTGTACCTCTAACTGAACAATGGCACACAGGTAAAATGATTGTACTCGAGGAGAAGATAGTTAACAGTGTCACTTGTTTCACTCACGTATAAATGAGGACCACAAACACATCATCTGTTTGGATTCACTTTCTGATGTGACTGATGATAAAATCCCTATACTCACAAACCCAAATTACTACTTGAATTCATGTTAAATCACATATCTACTATATTCAAAATGCAAACTAACATCGGGGCTGGTTGTTGAGTTTGCAATGTAGTTTTTACTTTGGCCGCAATAATCATTTAGTGAAAATGTTTTACTCCATCTTAACGACCCTAGGATGAAAGCCCCCTCAGTATCTTTTAGTATGTTCCCTCCACATCTATGCAGCTGTCTATAAACGATATGAAAGGAGGCGTGTTGCGTCTGAAATGTTCCCCAGTTTGAGTCCCAGTCTCACCTCCATGTCCTCCTTCACCTGCTCCTGCTGGTCTCTTAGCTCTCCAAAGGCATCAATGATCAAACCTGTGGGGGGGGGAACAGTTGGTCATAGTACAAACAGGACTCTTCTGATAACACATTTAAAGGTCACCTATTATGCAAAACCCACTTTTCCATGTCTTTTCTAAATCAACATGTGTCCCCTCTGTGGAAAGTTTCAGGAAAAAAGATTCTCTCTCTTTTTGTCCTGATCCATTTTTATAGAAACCTGTCTGAAAATGAGCTGATCAGATTTTGGCCACTTTATGATGTCATCACGATGTTTTGGCTTGTGTCACCATTAGCCAATCAGCAACCAAGGTAACCCCCCCCCCCCCTTATCACCTGAATCTCCTCCTAGAGCACCATTGAGTTCTTTTTAACCAAATATCTCTCAGAGGGGCGTGGGGAGGGGCTCCTTATTTTCATCTAAAGTAACAGACAGAGAATCAGCACAGGGCTGAAACAGAGGGGATTATGGGTAATGCTGCAATGATCTGTTTGGTATTTGGAGCCAAACACTTCAGAGACATGTTCTGTATATATCTGAGACCTATAATATATTGATGAAAAACAGTATAATAGGGGACCTTTAAGATTTGAGGATGCAGGACACAGACTCAGGACAAAGCAAAGAGTGTGTACCCTGAATGATGGCGAGCAGGATGACGATGACGAAGAAGAAGAAGGTGATGTCAAACATGATGCGGTAAAGCTCGTAGGGGTCTCCAGCTGGGTCCTCCAACTCGTCGCCGATACCGCCTCCAGCTCTCACACCCACGTACATGTGGAACAAGTAGCACTGCAGAGGGAACACAGGAGAGAAACTAAGAGATAAGATCACGTAGAGAGCTGTGTCCTGTTGGCTACAGTGGGGATGGACAATGACACATTATAATTCAGTGCACTATGAGGCTGTGATTTAAGTGCAGCGCTAAAGATTTGGCGTCTTCTATCGCTACCCAGGAACAATGGAGAGAGATTAATGGGTGGATTAAATCTACATATAAGAACATTTGACACATTATTTCAGATTGCAAAGAATTGCAATTGCAATTAGTGAGAAATTATTCAGGACGCAAAAGGGTGACTGAGCATCTGAGACACAGGGGGTGTTTCTCAATGTCGAGGACGCTTGCTTGGTAGCACATGTCTTCCGAGTCACTTCCTTCAGAAGCGAGGCAAGAATCCTTCCTAGCCTCGGAAAAGGAAGAATGGTGGAACAGGCTAACAGGTGTGCGTCATATGCGAGGCCCCGCCTTAAATGGAGCGCGATTTCCGCCAAGATTTGGAAATTGGTCCGTGCGCAAAGCATTGTGGGGATTTTAAGACCGCGGAGGATACACATGTGCAGCCTCGAAATTTCCCGCAACGATGGTAGAATTCCATGGAGCCTGGACATTGGAACAGTCCTTCGGCGGGACTCGATGACGTAGCATCCTTGAAATAGTGGCTCTGGAGCATCCTTCCTTGACATTGAGAAACACCCATAGTATACATATAACTCCCAAACAAAAAGAGTTTATTTATTTCTCTATTATAAAAGAATGTTTGGTCATCTGTTGTCTTATATAATAATAAATAAGTAAATAAAATAAATTCACAATATATAAAAATCAGTTCCTAGAAAAAAGTATTCAAAAGAAAATAAATAAACGATTGAGAAAATGTAATTTCAAACATCCTGAGACCCCGTGAGCTGCTCGTTCAGAAGGAGAACATTCATCAAAAGAACCAGTTATGCAGTAAATAGTTTCTGATGTTTTTCAAGTAAGAAGTGAAAGAAAAAATCCTTTACAAAGTTCACTAATGAAACGTATGTTCTACTCAGTCTGGTAGAAAACAAAGTCCAACATTCAGAATCAAAGCCTCAGGAATCTCAACATCTTCAAAGTCATTTCCTAAGTTCACTATTCTATTCTTTCCTAAATGAATATACATAAATATATATATATATATCAGCGGTGGCAAGGCATACCGTCAACATGTCGTCACACTTCATGTCGGGCTCGTCCTCATCCCCCCCGTTGTAGAACTTCCTGAAGAAGTTGAAGGCCACCACGGTGTAGAGATAGACGACCACGGCCAGCAGACCCACGGTCAGCATAAGCTGGAAGAGAGAGAGAACTCATTCAAATACAAAAATGACAAACGTTGACATTTCATTTCACCTTTTGTTCACATTGACAGTTTGAGCAGAGATTTGAGGAGGCAGAAGGTTGTTATCGTTGAGAAGTGAACCAACATGTCAATGTCAGAGTCGATTCATTCAAAAGGAAAAAGGAGCTCAAAAGACCTGCAATATTTTCAAGGTCTTCACCGCTGAATTGAGTATTTCTGGGCGGCTTTCATCAATACTCAAAGACTTTGTAGACCTTTAGACATTCTGTAATCACGTTTCCCATCCCTCCCATTCTATATCTATTAACACTTATTTCTGTTTAGGCCTTTTATCCAAACGTTTTTGCTGACTAATACAACTTTTTATTCATATTTATTAAAATCTTTGACTTTTTTTGTTCTGATGAACTAGGAAAGAAAGTACATACAGCATATTCATGATGGGCTTGACTATAAACGTCACATAAAATACGTGCTCTTTACAACCCAATGTGATTTGATGTGATGAAGTTTAGATGACTCCCATTGGTGGGAATACATCTAAATGATTCTTGGGAAAGTTATGGCATTTCCCCTCAAAGCAAACATTAAGTTCTGTCATCTTTTCCTCAATAATTAATTTATATTTAATTCCATTAATGTATTTCTCATGATGTTAATTTCTAGACATCCTGAGACTGAGTCATAACATCTCTATCTCAAAGCCCCTCCTTTTTCCAGGAGATAATTCTTTCATTTGATCACATCAGGGTTTAATATGAATCATGCCCATATTATCTATCATAGCTGTGCATGCACACACACACATACCACAACACAGACTATATCACCCCTTGCTGCTAAATACCAACAAACTATGTGCAATATGTGCAATATATAAATGCCGTTAATAACGGTGTAATATATACCTGGCTGCTAAATCCGTAGAACTGTTACAAGGTGTGTATTTTGTATTTTGTAAATTGTGTAACTTGCTGCTGTGAAATACCAACCACCTATGTGCAATATGTGCTAGATGTGCAATATGTATAGGTGCCGTTAATAACTGTGTAATATATACCTGGCTGCTAAATCCATAGAACTGTTACAGGATGTGTGTTTTTTAAATTATGTAACTTTTTATTTCTTATTATATTTTTTATTATATCATAACTTAGTATTTTTTTTTAATGCATGTCACATATCTAACATATTTAACATTAAGCTGTCTGTAACTACGCACATTTCCCCTCCGTGGGACTAATAAAGGTATTCTGATTCTGATCTGATTCATGCAGATCTCAATGTAACATGAGTCCTTATAAAGATTATCCAGATGGCAGCAGAATATCTCTTTACATTCTTCAATACGTGAAATTAAAACCCTGTAATATCTCCTTGATTTCACGGTGTTGTAATTCTAAGCAAAAAGGAAAAAGGAGGTTGTAAGGACAGGCTGCTCTGCCACATGAGTATGGCGGTCATTGTTCTTCTCTGTGCTCTGGCTCCCTCTGCTGGCTGAACTCTGTACCTGCTTGCCGTTGTGAGTGACAGAAGACAGGATGGTTTGGAGCGACTTGAAGACCATGGCGATGTCCAGAAGATGGGCAGCGAAGAAGAAGTTGTTGAAGTGTCCGAAAATGGACATGGTGGAGTACCAGATCAGATACAGGAAGTACTGAGGGAGAGGACATGACATTTATTAGTGACAAAGGTTCTAGAGAAATGTCTTTGCATATAATAAAAGCAAACGGCTGTCTTATGCCACGTTGCATATTACTACACATATTGTGGATATATGTGAAAAATAACCAAATAAAACCTTTGACTATTTTAATAATCATGTTTTTAGCTGGGTGTCTGTTCTTTCAGAGTTTTCATTCATTGTAATGTTACTTTCGTAAGGTAAATACTATTAAGGCTATTTTAGATACATTACAGAATAAAATGTAATACGCATAATCCTAATGACAGGTAAGAGATTTTTTATTTATTTCACTTTATTTCCCCCCGCAGTGCTGTGAATAAAAAGTGCTTTGATAACACGTAGAATAAACTTACATTGTCAGTCAGAACCACTCCCATCTTCCAGATGTGGTACTTAGTATCGATGGAGCTCAGCCTGCAAACGGGAGAACACAATAAGATCAAATGTACTTTATTGATCCCAAATTGGGGAAGAAATGTGTAGTAGCAGCATAAAAAACAAGGCACATAAGTAGAACAATTTGAAATAAACAATTCAAAAATTGAAACATCTCAAAATAGAAATAAAACGGCATTAAAAAGTAGAAAATATACAAGTTGACCGTGAAGATAGAACATCTGTGTCATACTGAAATGCAACCATGCATGTCATGTTAATGATTGATACAAAGGAGGAGATACTGAACTAGATATATTTAACATGGGGTTTAGAAAGTAGTTTTTTTATGGGATAACCTCAGGAAATGCTCAAACTCTCTAAAGCCCTTTGAGTATAATTTGAGCAATCCCTTAAAAAAGTGTAAAAAACTGCTGGTTACAGTGAGTATGAATAGATAAAACAAGGGTTCATCTCTCACCAGGAGAGCAGGGAGGCTTCATTCTCTACAGTCTCCACAGTGGGGTCAAAGTCCAGAGCGCTCTTATCCAGGCCCAACAGCTCAGCGATGCGCTCGGCTCCGTACATGTCTCCATATTTATTGATCACCTACAAATAAAGGACGGCAAAAAGCGGCTCGGTCACAACACAACACAAAGAAAAGTCTGATTCAGAAAGAACGCAGCAAACACAGGATGTTAAAGGGTCTGCCTGCAAGATAACACAGGGTCACATATTATTAGAATTTCACTGCTAATTACCTCAGAAGATTTGTTTTAAAAGTTACCGATTTTACCCTCACCTATCATGCTAACAACTACTGAAAACTGTATTAGGCAGTGTCCATAATAGTATATTTGGTTTAAAAACCATGACATGTCTCACTAGGAATTTAGGTTGACAAGTACATTATGACTACATGTTTAGTTATATGTTATTATTCTGTGTAATAAATCTAGTTACTCCTTTGCACACACTCACCTTGCGCTTGATGAACTTGTCCCAGTAGTTGCTGGGGAAAGACCTGTTAAAGAAAGTAGAAGTAAGAATCAGCGGTGGTAACTTACACTCTCTCTGTAGTTGTTTTCTGGAATTTGTCATGCTGATCGACATGAATCAAAATGTCCTTGCATGCTCATATATCATGTAAATATACAGATTACGGTATGGAGCTAGCAGATGAGGATAATTGAATACTGACGAGTGTAAACCTCATAATATGATTATTTTGAGTTCAGACTATGTACCATGAAACTGCCTTGAATTGAACCAAAGGAGCTGGAAATGTTATTCAATTTTGAAATGTATGTAAGATGTGTGTTCGTATGAATATGTATATATTTATATATCGTATTTTCCTTTTCAAAAAAGGCAGTTGAAACTGCAATTGACATGTGCAGAAAAAATGACCCTATATCTAGTTTTCTTATATATATATATATACATTTATTTTTTTCTTGCCCTAACTTTTATTTGTTGTTTTCTTCTCCAGTTTTCTTTATTTCTTTGTACTCCTTAATTTCTATACGTTTTTGACGCAATAATGCCAATGTTGTATTAGGATGATTCACGGGAGGGCTACTTCCCATAAGCTATGCTTCAGCCCTCCCGCTTCTACTAATTGTGTTCATCTTTGTGTGTATGAATTATACTTTTTTTGTTTTTTGGATGAATTAGTAGAATAAAAAAATAAAAATAAAAGGGTAGTATGTTTTATGCACCTGTACCTCAGTGTAATTTGACCTTGAGAAGTGCACTTCTGTATGTTTGGAACTGTACACTGTATACATGTGTTTTATTGTATAAAATGTAATACAGATTACTTTTAGTGTAATTGCTTCTTGGGATTGGACGGTGTGAATCAGGACGGTGACTCACGGGGTGTTGATGACGAGTCGATCCCACTGGCCCTTGATGTCCTCGTCAGACGGCTGCTCGGTGATGTAGAGACCGTCGAATTCAAGCTTCCTCGCAATCTCCTTCTCCCTCTTGAACACCACCAGAGGAACCTACGCGCAAACATAATAAGATGGGCGATTAACACTTTACCTTACACAATGGCAAGCAATTCGCCCAGTGATATGGGGAAAAACATCAAGAGTAAACCCACCTTGAGGAAGCAGTACCCGAAGAGACAGACGAGTGAGATGACGGTGTGGAAAACAGCGAGGAAGCGCAGCGTGGGTAACATGTAGCCGGAGCTCTCCTGCAGGACAAACTCATCCATGTCGAAAAATGTGTTCTCCTCATCATTATCTTCATCGCCGTCCCAGGTGTCCTCCTCATCTACCTCAGCTTCACCAGTGACCTAAAGAGCAAAGAGAAGTTACCACAATATACAATGAATAGTCCACAACTAGTATAGGGTCGCTGCAGAGAAAACTGTTTTAAAAAGAACGAGGAATAGTTTTTGGGGTAGAGGTCAAAGTTCCAAGAAAACACTATAAATTAAATAAAGTTATGAAAAGGAAAAAATTGAATTTTGCATGTAAAAGGTTAAAAAAGACAGTTACTGCCCCTGGAGATTACTGTCACCAGTGTCAAACTTAAAGGTAGGGTAGGTAAGAATGGAGAAACCAGCTCGAGTGCGCTAGAATTTGAAAATACACAGCCGAAAGAAATCTGCCACTTCCTTACAGAGCCCCTCCTCCAACACACACGAACGCGCACATGACCAATGAGGGCACGAGATAAGTTTGTGCACAGATGGAAGGCTGACAGGCAGGTAGGCCATCCAGTTATTTTAGCCGGGCCGGCTCAGATGATTGGTCGTGCTTTTTACAGCGCCACGGCTTCCACAGATGACATTTTTTTATGTATTTATTGTCAAAGCATTTAATATATTCATTGCTATCGGGATGTTAAGAGCATTCCAGTGTTTCTGAAGTGAATTACCTACCCCACCGTTAACTTATTTAAATCCTAAATGTACAGGAAAAAATTATGAAATAAACTTAAATTTGCAAAAGATTTGGAATTAAAAAAAAGTTTCAGCCCTTTATAAAATATAATAATTATAAAGACATTTTGTTGTCCTATATAGTTGACCTAAAATGCTTACTCGGACTGTGAGGGATCATCACATTGAATTGTTATTTGACCGGTGCTTTTTTCATTATCATCATCATCAATGCACAATACTTATTTTCCAATGATCTTGGAATTTGTGCTCCATTTAGAAACGTGACTTTCATTACCTTGTAGAAGAGAAGAATGAAGTTGATGGCGAAACACACAAACAGAGCCAGGAAACGCACGTTGTAGAAGTTACGAGCCAGCAAGTTCTGCAGGGGAGAGTTTGATTAAGACCAACTGTTGTGACCTTTATTATCGCCTTTCCACATTTTTGAAGACGAGGGCTCACCAGCATCTTGGTGATGAAGATTTTCAGAAAAGCGAAGATGCTCAGCATGAAGGACGGAGACGCGTCTTTGGGGGGACTCGCTTTGGCTTTGGGCTTCTCCTCCGCCACCGGCTCCTTCACCTCCACCTCCTCCTTCTTTGGCTTGTCCTCCTTCTCCTGGTTCTCTGAGCTGTATTCAAAACAGTTGGTTTTATTGTGTAAGGGGATCAATTATTTTCCTCTCACTTAAGTCTACTCACTCTGCTTTCTCCGGTTCGTTCTCGGGGGCTTCAACAGGCTTAGCAGCAGCTTTCTGTAAGGGGAATAAAGTATTTTCATGAGCTGAGAGAAACTAAAGAACAGATATCTACAACGTTTAAAATCATAAATATATTCAACCAGAATCAGAATACTTCATTCAGCTTGCGGGAAATTGGGATATGTGAACGATTTTCTCCACATTCCTTACATAAAACATAAGAAGTTAAAAGGTCCCCTATTATACTGTTTTTCATCAATATATTATACTGTAGGTCTCAGATATATACAAACATGTCTCTGAAGTGTTTGGCTCCAAACACCAAACAGATCATTGCAGCATTACCCATAATCCCCTCTGTTTCAGCCCTGTTTCAAAAGTGCTGATTCTCTGTCTGTTACTTCAGATGAAAATAAGGAGCCCCTCCCCACGCCCCTCTGAGAGAGATTTGGTTACAAAGAACTCAATGGTGCTCTAGGAGGAGATTCAGGTGATAAGGTGGGGGGGGGGGTTACCTTGGTTGGTGATTGGCTAATGGTTACACAAGCCAAAAAATCGTTATGACATCATAAAGTGGCCAAAATCTGATCAGCTCATTTTCAGACAGGTTTTTAATAATGGGTTCCATTTATAAAGCACTTCATATTCAAATTCAAATCCCAAAGTGCTACAAGCAGTGAGCATGAACAGTATAAATAGACATGACACAACACGGTAGAATTAATAAAAAGCAATACAAAATAAATAAAAATAAAAATAAAAGGGTGGTAAAAAGGTCTAGGCAAAGGCTCTTTTGAAGAGATGGGTTTTGAGGCCTTTTTTAAAAGCCTCCACGGTCTGTGGTGCTCTCATGTGGTCGGGGAGTGCATTCCACAGACTGGGAGCAGCCGAGCAGAAGGCCCGGTCTCCCATAGTACGGAGCTTAGTCCTGGGGGGTTTGAGCAGGTTGGTTTTTATATAAATGGATCAGGACAAAAAGAGAGAGAATCTTTTTTCCTGAAACTTTCAGAATCTCTTTCCACAGAGGGGACACATGTTGATGTATAAGAGACATGAAAAGTGTATTTTGCATAATAGGTGCCCTTTAAAGTCCAAATGTACAAACCTTCTTGTGTTCAGAAGTGGAGATCTCTGCGCTCAGCTCAGAAAAGTCACCCAGGCCGAGCTCCACATGTTTCCCTCCTTCCTTCTTGGGAGCGGACAGCATCTCCAGCATGCTGTCCATTTCTGTTGTGTCTCCTGCAGGTGCCATGGCCGTCTCTAAACCTCCCGACGACTCTATGGCCTCCACTTTCTCTCCTTCAATCGCATCTCCGTGTATACCAAACTGGGTTGGGTCGGGCATGTTCCCGAGGATGTCCGTCACCTTTATGTTCTTAGCCCCCTCAACCAGGCCACCGCCAAACATGGAGGACCAGATGACGTGGAAGAACCCGAAGATGAGTCCGTAGATTCCCTTGAAGAAGCCGGTGAAGAGCATCCAGAAGAAGGAGAAGAAGCTGGTGATGATCTCCTTGATGCTCAGCTTCTTGATTTTCTTGAACTGCTTGGAGAAGTTTTTAACGGATAATGTTTGACGTACGTTGGAGATCTTCCTCTTGACCGAGCGGCATGCGGTGGTGAAGGCTGAGGCAGACTCCAGGGCGCCCTCTTCCTCTCCACCCAGCTCGTCCAGGAGGCTGTGTGCATCGTCCTCTTCCTCCTCCTCCGGTTGTTCCACCACATCCGGCTCGGAGATCTGCGAGGCCAGCTGCATCTCAAAAATGGTGTCCTCACAGAAATTGACAAACATCTCCATCTTCTCGCTCTCCGTGCCCTCGTTGACCACGTCAAAGATGAACTGGCGCTTGGACTCTTTGACCTGCGGCTTCTCCCACTGCTCGCGGCTCGACTCGCTGATCTCGAAGTAAACCCTCTCGATCCGCTTTGCGCTACCCATGATTTCAATACGACCCAGATAGGGCTCGAAGTAGCTGAGTACGCTCCCCGCCAGGTCTAAGAAGGTGGCGAGTCTGGAGTCGTGCGGCATGTGTTCCGACAGGTTGGTCAGCAGCACCGCCACGTTGAAGCCGATATCTTTGGCCGGCTCGTGGAAACGCTCCACAAAGTCAATGTAGTTGAACATGTCATTCTCGTCGGCCTCCGCGCACGAGAGCAGGAACTCAATCTCCGTCTGGCTGTACTGCATCTGAGACTCCATTGACTTCTGGAACTCCTTCTTTGAAATAATGCCCTTAAACTCAGGGTCGTTCTCTTTGAAGGTGTCAGAGGACGTCAGGTCCTTCAGTTTGAGGAACATGTCGAAGAACTTGAGGATCATCTCCACGTTACTGGAAGACTCCACCAGGGTGTCCACCATCTGCTTTCCAATCATTCCATTCACCACGTTACCTAATTTAAAGAAAATGCATTATGTTCTGTAAAATACAATGCAGCCATTTTACTAGAACTGTGAAATAAGAAATATTTTGAGATGTTCAATCAAAAGAGTTGAATTGTATTGTAATGTCTTTGTCAGCAGCTCCAGGCTCTTACCCTCTAGCAGAGACAGCAACATGACCACCATATCCTTCTGTAAATCCATCAGCTCCTTCAACAGCTCAATCTGACTGGCGTCCTACAAGGAGATTATAGTTTTTCTGTTAAAGCTTTGTGCCGATGGAGTTTTCCCCAAACAAAACAAGGTTGTTCGGATCCTTAATATTTACCCTTCAGCAATGCATTATTAATGGTTTAGTGCTATAGGCTTTAACACCACCATGTGTGAAGTATACCATGACTACCACGGTTATTTAAAACAGTATAAACAAGGGATACATATTTCACTTTTAACACACATTGTGTTTCAATCTTTGTGGGTATTTATGTAATGAACTTTAGGACATTAGCATTGCATCCCTGCATGTTAAATGTTGTTTAAAACGAGATGCTTTACAAGTAGAATAATCCCAAGGTTTATTGTACCTGAGAAAGCTTCATTTGCATGTTGGCAAAAACATGCAAGAAGCCCACAACTGCGTCCCACAATCTGCTGTGAGCTAAACTCTGCTGGTTCCCAATACACGGGCCCTGAAGGAGAGAGGAGAGAAAATACACATCAGGAAATATTTGATGAAAGTAATTCATTCTTCACATTGTGGATTTAACAATGTTGACTCAGGGATCAGCTTCCTACCTGAATGTACTCAGTCAGTGAGTTGAATATCTGTTTGGCAACAGATAAAGCTTTGGAGAAGTTTAGTCTTCCAGTCTCATCCATGACATCTTTGCCAGAGTAGTACCAGTAGAAGTCACTGATCGATTCCTAAAAGCAGGATCACATTGGTACACAATAAGTAAGTAATGGCAAGTACATATGTTGTGCCTTTATATTTGTGTTTAACACACCTGAAGACGGAGCAGATAGTCAACGGTGCTGATGATGATGTTGACCGTGGTTGTGTTTCCAGTTTGTGTTCTCAGGAAATTCTGGAAATCTGACAGAAAGATACATTTTCTCATCCATGTCCCTCCCTATCTGTTGCATTACCATGCCCTTGTGGCTAATGCAAAATGTTGATATTCAAACAAAAATGACGTTTCACTTTTCAATGAAGAATTATATTAAACCTCACCTCCATTGTGGCCCTCACAAAGAAGTTGCAAAAACCGGAACAGATCTTTAGTAAACTCATCATTTTGTAGCACTTTGGAACCTTAGAGGGAAAAGACATCTTAGTGAATACAACAACGACCCTGTGCAAATGAACTAATGTGATTATTTACTAAACATGGAGTCTGATAAAGTTATTATTTAAACCCCCCTTTTAAGCAATTAACATGAGGCAAGCAAGTCAGGTTTCATGTTGGACGTTCAGGGCCTTTAGATTGCAGGTTCAAAACTGAATCCAAAGTGATTTTTGGGGGAAAAATGCTTTTAATTGAAACAACAACGAAACGCTAGGACATTTCCATAAGCTGCAGGAAGCCTGATAACTTTCACATGTAGGCATGGATTGAGCCCTGATGGAGGGGGTCATTTCAAGAAATAAGCGGCGGACAAACACGGTTATATAACTCACTTTTAAAAAACAAAACGGGTAATCCAGTTAAAATAGCTAAACGAAATGAGCACAAATACATTTCTGGAAGCAGATAAAACCATGTGAAAGTCAGACGTCTGTATGGAAACCAGCTTTGTGAAATAGGCCCAAAATCCAAAGCAAGACAAAGCTTTGCTGAGGCTGCGGAAGAGTCCACAGACCTTCAGTCAAACCCTTGAGAGGCGGCACTGATAGCCTTGGAACAACAGATTTGAGCATCAGTAATAGGATTTGCGTTAGTTAATGTTAACATGAAGGGAAGGGGAACAAATAACAAACAGGCAATGGATTGTTGAAGATCCACCGTGTGTTCACGCTGCATGCACAGTGTGTCCGTACAGACATCTGGGTGGGGGAGGCTGGGTACCAAATAAAGCAGGAGTATGAACCACAGACGAGACATTCAGAGTGGAAGCATAGCCATATCAGCATGATCTAGGTTTGCTATTTACCCTGCTGATTGTTGACTGCCGTCGATGGGTTTTTTTAAATGATAGGAAGGAGACAAACAATACACCAAGACATAATCAAAAAGAGAGGACATCCGAGTTACAATACAAAGAATTATGAATATTTTGGCAACGAGTGAAAAGTCATGCAGTTAAAAATAATAGTTTTAGACGGGGAGCAGGAGAAATTATAGGCCTGGGTTCGTGTCTGGGTTATATTTTTGCTAGATGATTACAAAATGAGAATTCAGTCATGGTGAAAAATCCATTAAAGTTACAGAGACACGAGTAGCAACAGTGAATTGTTAGAGACAGAACTCGGTGGAAATGTTTAGGACTGAATGATGAAAAGACGGACATAGTTGATGTGGAAGCTTTAAGTGATTGTGTTGAGAGTTGGAGAGAGATTTGCTTTAATGCTGGACCATGTCCTCTAAGACCAGATTTGTAGTTTAAACCACTCACAGAACCCCTGCTCTGAAATACAAGACAGGATAAATTACTAGCTTAATATCTTAAAGACTTAAATCCATGCTACATATAAGACAGTCCTATAATACATTGAAAACTCACACCTTCTATTTTCTACCTCAGAAGACGACGTAAAAGACTACACACTGACGACTTCACTGACTGTAGCGCAAGCAGCAAACTATCTGATTAATCAAAATCACATTGATAGCAATGCAATTTAGATTATTCATCTACATCGGCCATACATAAATACAGGGTATATGCAGGAATCCTGAAGTCAAATTTAATACCTTTTAAGACCTTTTTTAAGACCCTTTCCATACATTTTAAGACCTCATCGCCACTTGGAGTTTTAACCGGTTACATTGGCGACACACTTTACCTCACATTTACCATATACAGTATTGATTGTCCCTTCCTCCTTATCTTCCAACCATTTGGACGCAAACTTGCATTTCCCCATAACGATGTTGTTTAACAACCGGCGTAAACGGACCTTCGCACTATCAAGCAGTGAGCGTGCGATGTCCTGTTCAGATGACGTCAAATCCAACGGGATGCCATAAATAAACGACACAGAATCACACTACACACCTACGCAATGATTACATTCAGGCAGACTGTAGAATACAACCTCTTTGGACAATTGATATACTTATTGAAAACAAGCTACAAAATGTAATACCTTGGAAAATGCCGTTTTTAAGACCCCGCGGACACCCTGAAATAACTACTTATTAGGAACTAGCATTGATTAACAGCTTTAATAGGACACCAAGGATATACAGTTGTCATGGTTCAGCATTAGAAGGGGAGGGGGAAAGGATAGGGTCTTTTGTTTCCTATTCTAAAGTAAAGGTTTTCTTTAACAGTAAGGATCTACTGATCTTTAATCAAAAATGTGATGCTCAGAAGACTAATGAACGGGTTTAATCAAACAGCTCATTTTATAAGACTTCCTCAACTTACTTGAACCTTCTTCTGACACCATGCCAAGTCCTTCTGCTTTGTTCTGCCTCTCAAATGCATTCAAGTCCAAGACACTAAGGAAAGTAAACAAACAAGTGATATAGAAGTACTTGATGTCTGCACAGAAATTCCTTTTTATGGTATAGATAATATAACAGCACCTGCAAGACTGCATCAGTCCTGAGAGGCCCTTGAAAAAGCCTGCATCTCTTTTCTCTTTCAGGTAATCCAGCATTTTCTGGAAAAAGAGATGAAATGCATTACACCATCAAAAATAATGTAATTTATGAATATGTTGTGAGTATTTACAGTATGTTGATGAATGGATGGATTGTATGAGGACAGTGATACAGTTAAAAAGACAAATACATAATTATAGTTGAATATTTGAGCTGTATAATCTCACCTGCTGCACTTGCACATTGCCGCCATTTAAGATGGATATTCCCAGTTTGAGGGTGCAGGTCACCATGGGGCCCAAACGACCTGATGAAGAAGGAGTAACGTAAGATAAAAGAATGTCGACGACAACAGGTTTGTCTGATAATAAACTAATCCCTGCAACAAGTCAGAACTTTTGCAAAATGAAATGTGTGTGTGTTTGTAATAATCCGGCAGTGGCTCAGTCAGTAGGGGGCTTGGACTGTGAGCCGTAGGGTCGCCGGGTTCAAGTCCCCGAACAGACCTAAATATGGAGTGTGGACTGCTACTTGGAGAGGTCCCAGTTCACCTCCTGGGCCCTGCCGTGGTGCCCTTGAGCAAGGCACCGGACAACCCCCTTCCCCTCACTCCCATTGCTCCCCGGGCGCTGTGCAATAGCTGCCCACTGCTCCTAGTACTAGACTCCTGGTACTAGGATGGGTTAAAAGCAGAGAACACATTTCACTGTGTGCTCTGCATGTGTGACCATTAAAGAGGTCACACATGCGGTCCCTCCGATTCTCGATTCTAATGGCAAGGTTACATTTAAAGGTCAAAACACACTTTTAGCTCCTTAGGGTTAGCCGTAAAATTGTCTAATAAGTATTAATTGTTGTCCCTATTTTCATCAGCACTGTAAAACGTGCATTTGGACCTCATGGGACCCTATGTCATTTTGAGATACCTCAAAAGAGTCAAACGTATATGGAGCTAGAACACCAAGGTGAACCTCAGAAAATGATGGCAGCAAATTCAATTTAAACTAATACCGAATTAGGGGTTCAAGTGGTTGAACAGTCAACGGAAATGCCGTCTTCAGGGGAAAATGCTTTTAAAGTAACAGAATCATTTTCTTTAAGCTGCCGGCAGAATGTTGAAGCACAGGAACGTTGAGCTCATCGTTACCTTTACTGGCGCTGATCATCTGCAGCACCATCTCTGCGGCCCCGCGGGCGTGCAGCCTCATCTGCTGATACAGGATCTTCTGCTTTTCCATCTCTTTTTCCTGAGCAGCAACACACACAGCAGCCACGATGATCAATCAGCATGAACCTCTTGTTTCTTCACAGGTAACAGATATTAACGTTTCTGGTGAACGGTGAGTCATTGGCTAAAGGACCAGCGCGAGAGCATACCTCAAAAGTCTTTTCTTTCCCTTCTACTTCCTCTTCTTCTTCCTCCTCATCATCCTCTGCACAGCTCTGAAGACACAGAAGTCAACATTCATTCACAACTCAATTTTCATGTTAACTCAAGTCTTACTAGATTTCTTTTTACATAAAAAGAACTTGGTACTACCTTCGCCATCATGTCTGCATACGCTATATACAAAGGGTCTTCTTCCAAGTAACTAAAAAGAAGTGAAAGGTAAGTCACAATTTATAAAGTCAACTATAGATATTCAAACTATATTTTATACGTTTTAACACAACATGCAAAACGAGTACGCACTGCAACTATGGATTATTTGTATCATCTATCAATCCTTTGATTATTTACTCGATTAGTGAATTAGTTGTTGGTCTATAAAATGTGATAAACCTGATGATGAATCTGAACTTTTCCTAGAGAATCATTTATGAACTCGACAGCATTTTAAAAGCATGCTCATTGTAACATTGACTCTCATGTTCAGTGGTTGAACTCCCTCACCTTCTCTCTGTCAGAGCGTTGTGGCTGAAGTGGAGGATGAGTTGGTGGAGAGGGTCTGGTTGGACCTCAGCCACCTCCTCTTCCTCTTCCTCCACAATTTTCATCGGGGTTTTCTGCAGGAGTCCACAGGTGTGAATAGTTAGCTCTGCCCACGTCTGATCTGATCATTAATCGTCCCTCTCAGGAAATATCTTAATCTTCACAAACTTACTGACCATTGTGCACATTAACACATCTTTCAAAAACATTCAAATAAGTCAAGAAACATTCAACTAGCACCGGCATGCAGATGAGTTTTTGTCATGTTCAGGTGATCTGTGGAAAGGACAGGGCGAGGAAGTTAAGAGTGGAAGATGAACAGCACTGGAAACATTTCTCAAATACATGCATGTTACAGCAAACAGATGCAAGCAGTCAGCACATTGGTGATATGACTGAACATGGAGAATGACCCTGACGGTATAAGAGCCTGACAACAACTACACAAACTAAGCTGACAGATTTGTAAAATAAATCTGACACTAATAAAAAATAACCTTCCCCAACAACAAGCTGCTGTATCTAAGGCTGTACTTAATTCAATGGTTTTTGTGTCTTGATGAATTTGCTAGATCTAATATGAAATGTGATCTCCACGTCACTACGCGAGCATGCCACTGACGTCACGGCCACAGAACGTACTGTAACGCCACCTTCACACTTACACTACAGACTTACAGAGTACAGCGAAAAGACAACTGATGGGTTGGATCCAGATCTGACAGCCAAACAGCTAGAGACTCCTAGTGAATGGCCCTCCTTACCACTGCGGTCAGAAAGGCAAAGCCTGCTTTTCTACAGCTGTGAGCGCCGGAGCTGGCCCTGTGTCTCCTGAGTTGGTCATGCAGCCTCTGACCCCTGACGGATCTCAGTTTGGATGCTTTTGCGCGCCTAGAGCGGGGGCCGCCCCTGGGTGCTTTGGGCGAGGTCCCCACCCGGGCGCGCTCCCAAGGCTCGACGGGCGCGGAGCTAAAGAAGCATTCGGCAGACAGGACTGGCAGAGGGGGGCCAACGCAGGGCACGTGGGGCAAGGGCAAGGCGAGCCCAGTACTTACTGCCAGATCCTGAACTAGCTTCTCCTCAAAGGAGTATTCCTCTGCCTCTATCCAAAGTCTCTGATAGGCCGGGATGAAGAAGTTGATAGCGCGATGCCTGGGGAGGGGGGAGGTATGGAGGGGAGTGGGGAGGGAGGTACAGTGGCATTAGGGCGGGTACTGGTGAGTTTTTGGAGGAGACAGGAAGGAGAGATGTCAGGGGAAGGAAGGGGTTACAGGAGGTGCATTTCAGGCAGGGTGGTGATTGGTCAATGTGGGACCCACTGGCTCTTCTGACTGGTCATATTTGGTCTATAAAACAACTGCAGTTATTTTTGTAAAGTTGTAAAATTCATTAGAGGAGCATGCACATTTTAGGGGGGATGTGCAGTTTTCCAACAAATCAGTGCAATTTTTTGAATTGATATCATATATTTTCTTTGACAAAGCTGCATGGATATGTTGTAAAACTGCACAACCTTTGGCAAAATGTCAAATAAAGAAATCATCATAATGGCAGGAAGCAAAATAACATAAAACAACTTTAATACTGTATATTACTATTAATTTAATTGATTTATTTCTTTCTGTCTTTCTTCTTCTCTCCTTTCTTCATTCCTTCCTTCAGAGTACACCTGAAATGAGACAAAAGCCTGCAGCTCGCAGTTTGTTTCCACTTTCCAAATAAGTTTGTTCCAGTCAATTCTTTGGCTCTTTCTAGCTGACCAATCAGAATCAACAGTGCAGAAACAATTGGTTGCTGGGCAGAGATCAGTCCACAGCCTGGTGGATGAAGGGGGGGTTGAACAGATGAAGCATTCGCCCTGTAGTTTCACTTTACCGTCAGCAAGGAGAACAGGCGGTCAAAGCTGGAGGCTTTGAACGCCCTTTCCAGCCAAACCTCCCGATAGCCATTCAGGAAGTAATTATTATTTTTGTATCTGAGGGAGGATGAGGTAGTATTATGCAAGAAAACAAACCAGAGGAGAGAATGTCATTAGGGCGGCGATGAGGGGTTTACATGGGCACACAATCAAGAAGAATAATGCCCATGATTACTTGGTGGTTGATTGTTATGTACGGTTAGATTGAAACAAAACAATGTCTATTTCATTATTGACATTGTATATACGTTTCAGAAATCCACACGCAGGTGTAAAGAAAACCCCACCTAGGTAGATTGTAGAGAGGAGCCATCCGGAAACAGGCCACCACAGCACGCTTACGCTGTTTAGACAACAGCTTATGGTACACAAGCTTCTTATTCCTCAGAGGCTGCTCCACCTGAGGGACGAGACAAGATGACAGCCAAATGAAAATTGGAAGGTGCTTGAAACTGTATTATGTAAAAGAAAATACTAAACTTAAGATTGTATAGAAACTAAAAACAGCATATTCTCATCTGCTATTTCTTATCTTCTCATTTCTGCCAATTGTATTTTTTTTAATACATTATCATTTACACATATGTTTTATTTTATTATTGCTATTTATTTTTTTCATATTAATTGTTATAATTATTTATTATTACACAAGTGTTTTTAAGTTACTTTTTTAAATATTACTATTACTATCGAATTATTTAAAAAGATAAAACAAGTGAATCATAGTCGTTTCTTTCTGAAAACAGCACCTAATAAATTAGCATAGAGGTGTCCGTTTAATTTCTGTAGATTGTTTAATAATTGACCACTTGAAAGTACTCACATAATTAGAACACTCACATAAGCAACCTTTTGTTCCCTTGCCTATAATGTCTTACCCAAGTAATTACTGTCGTGTCAAATTATCTTTGATCTACTCTACATATGAAAAGCAATACTGCAGATGCCTTTCTTCTTCATCCTGTGATGTATTGCTGTGAGAGCTGTGTGTCTACCTGCTCCAGGTGGAAGACAGCAGCTGAGATGCTCTGCACTCGGTCCACGGTGTGTTCTAAGTTAGCGGGTTCCTCGCTCTTCACCACCACGTCTTTGTACAGGTTCATCTGCCACTGGACCGCCGGGTCTTCACACTACAGCACAATAACATCCAAATCAATAGATAAACAGCAGCTTTGAAAGTATATTACTCAAACCGCACACAAAACACTATCTCACCTTGTCCTGGAGATGGAAATTCAGGCGCAAGTGTTCCTTCACCTCGTCATCTGTTTCTTTCTATGAAGGGTATTCAAAAGAGAGAAAATGCAATGCAGTGTCAGTACAGTAATCCTTGATATAGCTTTCATATTTGTAGTTCTATAAACACTGAATGCCTATTGCACCAAAGATGATTAACCTCTGATTGACATAATGAAATAGAAGCTGAGGTCTGTAAAGCCAATAAAGACAATAGTGACCACTGTGAGTTAAAGTACAGCAACATGTACACACAGTACTTCTGGGGAAGAGGCACCACTCTGGCTTCATCTACAGCAGTGGTTCTCAACTGGTCAGGCCTCGGGACCCACTTTTTTCCTTTGTCAATAAATCGCGACCCGAAATTTTGAACCACTCAAATCTATTCAACACAAATTCGTGCTGTAATATAAATACGCTTTTCAGCATACAATATGAATTAAAGTGAAGTACAGTGCATATATCCCTTCACAGAACTAAAGTATGCTTCTAAAAAAGGTTTAATGAGATGATGGAATCACAGCTGAACTTTATCACATAAAAAGGCACACATGCTCAGGGGGGTCTGGGGGGATTCTCCGCCAGGAGATTTTTTGAAATACTAACATATAAACTACGCATTCTGGTACACTCTGAGAAGAAAATAAATAAATCTATTATTACCCGACATATTAATAATATTTTATGCCATTGTTTGTTTTTCACTTAGTTCTGACAGCTGAACTTGCTGCTCCACACAGAGAGAAGAGCAAATAGGAGATAGTCTGAATTGCTTTGAATTGTGGGTAAGGGTAGATAGCTCCCATTGTTCTGTGACCTGTCAATCATCAAACCGGGGGTCATATTTCATTATGTGTTCATTTTTATCTGAAGTTGTACCCATGGATGTATAAAGAATAGTTCTACCGCAAAGTTATTCTCCGTGGGGACTTCCGGCAACAATCTTGATTCTGATTGGCCAGAAGACTCGAAAAAACATCAGCAAATATGTTTTATTGAGAAGATGATCACTACGTGACAGAAGTTTTCAAAGCCGTTTATGGTCTCCAGTACTTCCAGTCCAACGCCTACTGCATGCACAGCGTTAGAAAATCGGGCCTTCAAAATAAAAATTAGACTTTTTCCCCAATTCTTTTCAAACATTTTTTTATCACACATCTGCGACCCACTCGAAACGGGTCCTCGACCCACCAGTTGAGAACCACTGATCTACAGTATATGTACGGTTAGATGATTTAGAAAGTTGAACTTTTCTAAAAGGTACAAATTCATTAATATGATTGAATTGAATCAAATGATAAGACCTTTAAGATAAGGCCCAATAAAAGGACCGAGTAATAAGAGATAGACTACATGTGGGACATACAGCATAAACAAGTGAACTTTCAAATGAAACTAGTCTAATAACTTTAGCCCTAGGTCGTGTTTTTGCCAGCTCACCAGACTGTAGCGTATCTTGGCGAGGGAGATGAGCTCCTGGTCTCCGGGCGTGCACATGTTGAGGCCGATGGGCAGCAGCTTCTTCAGGGCCGCGACGATCAGCGACGTCTGGACGGAGTAATACTCGCCGCGGCGCCGCTTGTGTTTCCTCTCCTGGTCGCCTCCTGACTACAAAGAGAAAGAAGACAATGATATCATGACGACACAGCTTTGTAACACTGCTGTTTTCCGTACAATAGCTTCATCTTGTTCTATATTGTATTTTAAATGTAGAATTATCCTATTTTATCTACTTGTTGGCTTGTTTTATGTCAATGTTGTAATTGTTTGCTTTTGTTGTGCATGACCAGCACTATAGAAAATAAGATCCATTACTACAAACTGCATTTTAAGCCATTTTCAAATGTTGTACTCCACCAAACAGGAATACAAAAAAGTAGTATGAATTGTTTTTGACTGCCTAAATAGAAATGAAAGTGTATTGAATCCATAAAGGCAAAATGCTTTTTATTCAACGAGGCAAAGCTAAGAGACTTTACCGTCATATTTCCAAATAAGCACTCGAATACAAGAACTGAAGAACGTCCTACATCTACATACTCCGCTTGTTCAGCACATGTCAGGGAATCGATTAAAAACACAGGAAAAAAGCTGAGAAGGACTTTCCCTTTCATTATGAGAGTCTGTGAAATACACTAGAAAGAAATGGAGCCATTTTCCTGTCGGGAAATATTCAGGTTGTGTTCAGCTTTTCGCAGTGGCGAGCCGTCAGGGCCCTCTAGATAAGATATTCTACAAAATAATATTTAAAAACATTAAAAAGAAATATTTATTTTTTAAATATTTCTTTTTAAAATATTTTTCATTAGTTTTACCAAAATAACTTGATTTAATTGTATTTAAAATAACATTTCCAAAGAAATAAATCCTTTGAATGTGAAGGGTTAAATGAAAGAAGCTCCTTTAGCCGTCTCTGCGAGTTACTGTGAAGACAGGAGCTGATTGGTGGTCCAGCTGTGAATTCACAGAGGGCCCGCTATAGTAACTGAAGGAGAGAGTAATGTCAACTGACAGTACAATTGACCAATCATATCTTCCCTCTAAATGGGTGGGTTTTATTATCGCGGACTTTATGACAAGTTCCGCCCGCTGTGAAACTTTTCTTGTTTCCATAGCAACAACAATTTCCTGTCAACAGCGTAAACTCGCCTTCAAAATAAAAGCATGCCAAATTACACTTAAGACATACAACTGCAACGAAAGTAACAAACACAATGCAATATCCTTTTCAATTTCAAAGAACACAAATTGGGTTATTTACAGGGGATGTTTTGTGTGGTAGAGGGTCGCTTTCATTGATGCGTTTTGCACCCCGGGCCGTTGTTTTGATATTCCGCTGAAGTATACGCTGTGACGTAATAACTCTTATTTTATCTTTTTTCCGAGGGAAGGGGTGGGGGTCAGAGGGCCTAGGTATAAAGTCACGGCTCGCCACTGGCTTTTCGAAAGTGGTGACACAGTGAAGAGGACAGCAGGAAGTGAGACAAGTCAAAATGAAACCCAGAGAGAAGTAAGAGGTACCCTGATCATCGCCTGGGTGAATTACAGGGCAAATGTGGTACAAAAAGAGCTTTAGTTTATCATAATGACAAAACATGTCACTCAGTGCAACAGTTTGGGTCATTGGGGAGTTTATTATAGTAATAGGTCCACATTGTAGCTATATGAAAGGGATGAATAAGACGATACCTGTGATTGGGATCAATTCCTTGTTGTTCTTGGGCTTTTTAGTGGTTTTATTGACATTAGGAAACAACAGAATACATTTGCCCTTGTATTGACCCATATCATATGTCACTTCTATTTGATTTACCTTGGACATCTTCGCCTTGCCCTCTCCAGTCAGGAAGCCCAGATTGTTGATCTCATTCTGAACCACAAAGTTTTGCTCCTCACGTTTGAAGTTCTGGATTCAGAGGACAATAAAAAGAGGTTGAACAGGAAAGCCTTCCTCATGAAGCAGTATCCTTTTATCAAATGGTGGTATTGAATTAAGAGACTTACATGGGACTTGCACCAGAGGATGAAGATCTCAGCCACCATCCTGAAGAGCTCAGTGGAGTCTGCATCCGGCTCCTTCAGCCACCTGGACCTGGAATCAACCAAAAATATTTTCAATAGGGTTACACTTAGTTCAACTACATCTGATCAGGACATCAACTTGAAAAAAATCTGTGCAATAAAGCTCAGATAATAGAGGAAATATTCACATCTTAAACTGAGCAAACCAATGCTTACTAAATCAATATCCTCCAATTCATTTTAGAAATAAATACATATCTTTCTTTTCCAGTACCTGTTGTTGTCCACGTAACGGATGAGCATGGGGTAGAAGGCGTAGAGGTCTCTGCAGAGCACGGCAAACTCATCCAGGATGAGCAGCTCGGCCTCCTGGGTGTCACCTTTACTGTCGGCCTTCAGCAGCTCCTCTTCACCCACAACCTTTAAATGCATCACATCAACAACTCATCTCCGGCAATCAAATTATTATTCTCCTCACACGTGACCCCTTTCAACTCAGTGGTAATAACCTCCTCCCTGTAAACTCTCACAGTGAAGTTAGTGAGGAAGTGTTACTCTCTGTAGGTGATGGGACTCAACATAATGTTCTTAGACAAAGGCTACTCAGTATTGGCTTATCCAGCCATGCAGTGGGGTGGTTTGTGAACTACCTCTCTGAAAGGTCCCAATGTGTTCACTTTGATGGGCTGTCTTCTGAGTGGTTGAACATTGCTAATGGTGTTCCTCAAGGTTCTGTTTTAGGTCCACTTTTATTCTCCATCTACATCAATAGTTTAGGTGAAAATGTGGATGAAGCTACTTTGCATTTTTATGCGGATGACACCGTGATGTACTGTGCAGGTCCCTCCATTAAGGAGGCTGTTGTTAAATTACAGGCTGTTTTTAACATTATTCAGACTCAGCTCTCTGAACTAAAGCTTCTTTTAAATGTTGAGAAAACCAAAGTAATGCTCTTTTCAAAAGCTAAAAAGACACCAGAGACTGCTTTGGATATTGTGACTATGCAAGGACAAGTACTCCAAGTGGTTAGCTATTATAAATACCTTGGTATCTGGCTTGATGATTGTCTTACTTTTAAACTTCACGTCACTAATCTGCTTAAAAAACTGAGGGTTAGATTAGGTTTCTTTTTCAGAAACAAGTCCTGTTTCTCTTTTGAAGCCAGGAAAAGGCTAGTCACTGTGACCTTTTTACCTGTGCTAGACTATGGTGATTTGATCTACATGAATGCACCTGCCCATTGCCTGGAAAGGTTAGATGCCGCCTATCACAGTGCTCTGAGATTTGTTACTAACTGTAAAGCACTTACTCATCACTGTACCCTGTATGCCAAGGCAGGTCTGCCTTCACTTACTGTTCGGAGGCTCAGTCATTGGTACATGTTCATCTACAAAGCCATGCTGGGTAAACTACCTTCTTATATCTGCTCCTTGATCTCACGGAGAGTGGCAAGTAGCTATTGCCTGAGATCACAGGATGTGTTTTTATTACATGTGCAAAGTGCTAGGACTGTTTTAGGTGCTAAAGCTTTTATGTGCGCTGCTCCTCTGGCTTGGAACACTATGCAAAAAATATTGAAACTCAGCATTTTGATTCCCTTGCATCGTTTTAAAGCACGACTGGATGAAATATTATTGGATACCTGTAAATGTAAATAGATGCTAATGTATACCCCTGAAATTATGTTGTGATGTCCTTTTTGTTTTCTGTTTGTTTTTATATGTGTAACTCAATGTACCGCAGGTCTCCCTTGTAAAAGAGATCGTTGATCTCAATGGGATTTTTAACCTGGATAAATAAAGGCTACAGACTAGCTCATATATATATATATATATATATACACTATAAATTCAGCTGCTTATGATGGAGTCAGCTAAAATCTACTTGAATCACAGGTGTCACTGAGCAGTGGATACAGTGTGCTGCTGTTACACCATGTACATTATATTTTAAGCTCTCACCTTCACCGTCTTGTTCCTCAATTTCTCCAAGGTGGGCAGGAAGTGGGTTCTCAGCAGATGAGCTCCCGCCTTGCAGATGATTGGCTGAGAGTAGACTGGACAGAGACAATGGAAAAATATATATTTTGGACATCTGAAAAAATGATGCTTTCAAGAATACGAGAGGTTTCTGTGAGGATTTGTACAAAAGGACAATTAGGGCCATTGTAGAAAAAAATATTGTATATAATCAAGGAGCTGGCGGACAACATCTCGTCAAAATCTCAGAATTAAAAAAGTATTGAATTGATCAAAATGGAAGAAAAACAATTCTCAGGGAATATCCAAGAGTTTTCTCTCCCCTGGCATTGCAATTTAATGCATATTTTTGACCTAAAATGGCTTTAATTTGCCGTTGTAAATATGCAACTAGGGTATTAAAACACAGACATTTTATTTTTGTCACAACTGCCATTCTATATTCATAACATAGCTTTACCAGCAATTGTACCTGTGTCCCTCAGCACACAATTCTAAGAAAAGCGAGAGATATTAGTTGTAGAATAGTTGAATAAATAAGGCACGGCATGAATTTTCCTTTGTCTGGTTTCCTTGTTTGTAAATGTGTTGAAAGTAAAATATTCAAATGTAGTTTCATGAAGTGTGATTGCCTGAGGCTGTTTTCTCCCTCAGCAACCAATTATGTTATCTGGCCTCTCCTGAACTCCCACAGAGGAATGAGCATAGAAGAGGCAAACCGTTGAGAAAAACAATCATACTTTATTGTATTAACCCTCACTTCCTAGATTGGTTTCCTTAACTACAATTACTGTTCAGACTTATTGTTATTTTGCTGAAGTCTGACCTTTTTTATTTGACTCTTTCCATGATTGCTATGTTTTTCTAAACAGAAAAGGAATGAGTGGGTTTGCTTCTACTTCTGATGAGAATATAACTCACCTCCGAGTTACATTTAAATGCAAATTTCCATGAAGCAATTCATTAAAAATTCTCTCATATTTTCTGAAAAAACTAGGATATTCATTTATTACAAGCATTAACTATGCAAGTCGGTAAACAAACACCATCTGACCAGAGGGAATCCCTCTTCAAATGATAGATATTCTTTCTCTCAAATCTTGAGCCTGGTCGTTACCTGCAATCCTCTTCATCCAGGGGGCGTCATCGATACCCAGGTTGTTGTTGAGGATCTTGAGGATGTTTGCCAGGATGATGCTGAGGTGTTCAGAGGTCACCATAGTGCAGCACTGGGCATCTGAAGAGGAGTTTTCCGGACCCTTCTCCCACCAGTATGACAGATAGTTACACAGCATGGGAAGGATCACCTCAATGACCTGCAGCAGACAGACAGACAGACAGAAGGTGAACTGTCTGAATGACTGAAGGTGTATTGACAGTAGAGGCAATAAGGAACAGATTGTTTTGTTTGGGAACTAAAGCTCTAACAAAGGAATTTATAATGTTACTTAGAACTTTGCAGCAATTATGGATTTGGTGATGTTATGGTAATATGTCAATGTTGAATCTTAAAATAATGTGTGTATTTTGCATTAAGTTTTGCAACTCACAAGAGACATATTTTAAAAAGTAAGACCAGAATTGATGAAGTACAGGTTGAGATATCCTTGATGTTAGTCCCTTAACATTGCATCCTACCCAGAATGCTACTTTAAGCATACAAGCAGTGACCATGTTGCTAAGAAACAAAACACCTAAAAAATGCTGTATCTATTCATTCAAATATCCCATCAGCCCTTCTGACCTGTGGCATGTCGGAGTAGCGAGCACCGGACTCTGAGACATCGCTGACGTCTTTCAGCAGTCCTTCAAGGCGAGGCATCTCCGGACACATCTCCATCACCGTGTCCGGCATACTCAGGACTAGAAAGGAATAACACCAAGACATTTCTTTAATGACATTTCAAGAAACTCAAAAGCATAAACTTTGTTCAATGACTACAATCTGTCAGGCCTGTGTTCTTTATCCATTTTTCACTGACATTCTCCTTTCTTCTACCTGGTGGTTTCACAGCCTCATAGTAAGAGTCAGGTACAGCCTGAACAGCATTGTCAAAAACTCTTATAAAATCATCCATCCATCCATTTTTTGGGCGACTGTGGCTGCGAGGGAGTGCGGTCGTCTCTCAACCAGAAGGTTGTGGGTTCAATCCCAGCCCGTGCAGCCAACATGTCGATGTATCCTTGGGAAAGATACTTAACCCCGAGTTGCTCCCGATGGCATGGCCAACGGTGTGTGAATGTGTGTGAATGTTAGGTCCTAGAGTAAGGTACACTGCTCTGTATGAATGGGTGTGAATGGGTGAACGACATGTAGTATGTAAAGCGCTTTGAGGGGTCTTAAAGACTGGATAAAGCGCTATATAAGTACAGTCCATTTACCATTTACCATCGGAGTGAAACAAAGAGACGTGAATTATTTCTGCAACCAATAAATCCTCCGGAAAGCAGCAAGCTTTTTGATTTCTTCGGATAATTTTCTCAATAAATTTTTCAAATTCTCTGCATTTATCATCCCTTCTGCATCCTGCTTTGAAATGCAATGTAGGCTTATTTATATATTCCAGTTTGTATTTATCATTTTATATCTATTTTTCAGGTTTTCAAATAGTTGTAAAATCGATAATAAATCAGAACATTGTAAATGATTGGGATAGAAGTCAATATTAAATGGAGGATCTGCTGCTGGACACTCACTGGCTCTCTCTCGGGGGGTCTTGGTGTTGAACACAGACATTGGGTTGTGAGCGTTGAGTTGAGGCTCCAGGAACGCCACAGGCATCGCGGCCACCAGTGTCGCCAGACTCTCCCCCAGCGCAGGAAGATGCCTGCATGTCAACATGTAAAAATGTTTAAAGGCCTAATCAACACTGACAAGTACAATTTAATCCATACATTTGTTACAGTCGTTTCATGCCAAATCTCGTAGATGATAGAAATGACATTAAGCACATATCGTTATCAAAGCTTAAACGTAATGATTAAATATACAGTACGGCTACTGTTGATCAAAAAAACATGTTTAATTCTGCTGCATGTTTTAGGAAAAGTGTGGACTCATACTTCTCCACAAAGACGCTCTTTCCCGTTCCCAGACAGTAGAAACTGGCCAAGATCCGGTAACAGGACAGCTGCACATCATTCACTGAAACAAAAGAAACATTCAAGCACAGTTATTTTTATACAAGAGAAAGATTAGCTTTACATATGAGTAAATGTAACAATTGAATGCATGATAATTGAAGGCTTGTAATGACTTGGTGTTAAGTACAAGACCAATGTCCTTAATTTGTCCTTAAATTGTGGATTGTTCCTGGGGTACCACTTTACAATAAGACTACCCTTATAAAGGATTCATTAAGGGTTTATAACTAGGTTACGAATTAGGTTGTAAACACTTTATTAATCATTAAGAACCATTTATAAACCAGTTGTAACATAGTTTTCATACGTCAACACAGGCTCACTATTTGGCAAGATGACTAAGCCTTATATTGGCTACTTAGCGAGAATCAACTCAGTGAGCAACAGATACCAAGGATGCTGGCTGATGAAGAAGACGAAGTAAGCTAAGTAGCCAATATAAGGCTTAGCGGTACAGATACCTGTGGGCTCACTATTTGGCAAGCAACCGGTCACAGTCGCCCTGTTCATCTCATGTCTTATAAAAGCTTATTAATGACTTATAAAGTGTTCACAATCTAATTAATAAATGAATTACAAACTATTCGTAAACCCTTTATAAGGGTAGTCTTATTGTAAAGTGGTACCGTTCCTGGTGACCATTACTGTTCAGTTACTTTATTTTCTTCTAGTTATTGTGATGTGTTTTTTATGATATATTCATGTTTGTTTTTAAATAAAAAGCATTTCAAACTATACAAATAATCTAAAAAAGTTAACACAAACTCACAGAGCAGATCCACTCCAAACTCGTAAGTGGTGATGTGCTCGAACAGGGCGGTGAGGATGGGCAGCAGCGCCACAGTCACGTAGTTGATGCTCTGCGTGACGCTCTTCAACTGAGCCCGGGACTGCATGAACTTCCCCAGCTTGAGCATCTCCACCAGCTTCTCCAGGTCCTCCGCCGCGTTCTCAAAGAAAGTCTTGAAGCTGGCTTTGACCAACTCTGAGCCGGACTTCATCACCGTTCTGAGAGAAGAGAGGAGACACAAAGGCGCAAGTGCATGCTCAAGAATAGCTATAATGGTCCTTTTGGTGGATCACTGTGCTTATATTGACAACGATGTGTGCTTACCTGGTGTCGACTGTTTGAGAGAGGATGTGCAGACAGCTCACCATCATTGCAGAGTCACTTCCTGTAAGAGAAACAATCACTGTAGATGTGGAAGGAGATTCAAGCAGAGCGCAACACGAGCATACAGACAGAGGCAATGCAAACCTTACCAAAGAGAGAAATCCTGTGTCTGACAAGAAGTGCCAGCTTACAGAACAGGCTGGAAAAGAAAGACGGCAAGAGCAGAATTGAACAAAAGGCAATCAGAGAGAACAAAGAAGAGCTGAGATGTACTGTAAGCAAGGAGGTAAGAAAAGATCTGATGAAAATATAAAGGAGAACTCTTAAAAGGGAAGGCTTAAAAGGCATCACAAATCTGGCAATGGAAAAACTGATTACACAAATGTTACATTACTTAAGCACAGTACCTGGTGAGCATCTCCTTCTCTTTGTTGGAGGCACAGCCGCAGCTGCTCAGGTTGTTGCTGGCCGTGGACAGGAAGTAGAGACAGTGGTTCTTGAAAGTTTGATCTATCAGAGGAAGCAACACCTGGGGAGAAGAAATCCAGCCATGTGAATAAGATCTTAAAGGTAGGGTAGGTAAGAATGGAGAAACAGGCTCGAGTGCGCTAGAATTTGAAAGTACACAACCGGAGAAAATCTGCCCCTTCCTTCAGACTTCCTTACAGAGTCCCTCCTCCAACACACACGAACATGACCAATGAGGGCACGAGATAAGTTTGTACACGAGATGGAAGGCTGACAGGCAGGTAGGCCATCCAGTGATCTGACCCGGGCCGGCTCAGATGATTGGTCGTGCTTTTTACAGCGCCACGGCTTCCACAGATGACATTTTTTAATGTATTTATTGTCAAAGCATTTAATTTATTCATTGCTATCGGGATGTTAAGAGCATTCCATGGAATATAACAAAAAGTGTTTCTGAAGTGAATTACCTACCCCACCTTTAATACAAGCTTAAGAAAAAAATTAAATCTAATACGTATCACTGGTTCTGTTGCAAAAGTTTCAAACCTTGGCAAAGAACTTGATTTCCTGGTCATGAGGCGATTTGTCCGTCTTCCCACTGGTGGCCATGGCCTCTGGATTCATAAAAAATGATGAGTGGCAAGGTCAGGATAATCACATTCCTCAAAAACGAGATTATAATAAATGTTAAGCACCTCTTAGTGCACCTGTGTTTGAAATGTCACACACTCACCCAGATGAGCGATGAACTCCTGGGCAGAGTCGACGTACTTCAGCAGCGTTTTGAGGAGCTTGTATGTAAAACGCTTCTCCATGGATGATGAGTCCTGACCCACGTCCTTCTGATCTCTGTAGCAGAGAGAATCACAAACAAATTCTGTTCAAACTACGTACAAATTAAAAAGACTCTTTCCTTTTCTATCTACCCATACTGCATAATGTAGTTATTTTTAACATAACAGTGTTTAATTTAACATCTTCATCTTCCTAATTAATCTATCAAATGACTTTTCCTTATCACAAAGTTTAAAATTGATTTTTGTTTCTGTAATTGACTCAACAGGAGTCATTGTAGATAAGGGTTGCCCCCTTGATAATCACAAGTATACAAAAATGAAGAATGAATAAAGAAAAAAATAGCTTGTAGTCATAGTATTACATTACTTTGCATTTAGCTGACGCTTTTATCCAAAGCGACTTACAATAAGTGCAGTCGACCAGGAAGATACAGACTTGAAGAAAACAGAATCATATAAGTACATCAGGTTTCATAGAACCAAAACATTTCAAGTGCTACTCAACTGGCTTTAGATAAGCCAGTCCTTTATTAGTATACAGTATAAGTGCTTTGTTAGTCATTTTATTGCTCGAAGTGGAGTCGAAAGAGATGAGTTTTCAGTCTGCGCCGGAAGATGTGTAAGCTTTCTGCTGTCCTGATGTCAATGGGGAGCTCATTCCACCATTTTGGAGCCAGGATAGCAAACCCACGTGGTTTTGCTGATGGGAACTTGGGTCCCCCTCGCAGTGCGGGTGCAGCGAGCCGTTTGGCTGATGCAGAGCGGAGTGCACGTGCTGGGGTGTATGGTTTAATAGTAGACATAATCAAGATCAAATGTGTAATTACAAAAGACAAAACAAAGGGTCGCATGAAGTCCACCATACACTGAACTTAAGAACTCAACTTTAAGATGTTGTTCGTTTATGCTAATTGCATTTACTTATTTATTTTTCAATGTAGGATAACTTGGTGAGTGAGGGAGTTTACCTCATGATGGCATAGCCGCTGATCTGCAGGAACTTGAAGAGCTCCTGGGCCTTCTCTCTGTCTCTGTACTTCTCTTTAGCAGTCAGGGTGTCATAGGGAACCAGCAGCGGGTGGCTCCCTCCTCCTGACAAGTCAATTCAGATTCACATAAATAAAAAAAGTCAGAATTACTGAAGTTTGAATAGTCTAATAAGGGCAAAACATTTACTTTCAAACCATGCACTTACACACCTTTGCTAACAAGTTCAGATTTCTTCTTCTTGGACCAGATGTTGTGGTAGTTTTCTGCAACCACCTCCACCATGCCCTGCAGATACAGTACATAAAACAGATTAGAGCATTTTTGCCACTTTATTAGTTCAGTCGGACAACTCACGTGTTTCTTAATATGTTTATTAGAAGCAGCATATAGTTTGAGTTTGGCGTCTAGGCTCGGGCCTCATCACTCCACAGATTTACAAAGAACATTGAGTGATGATTAGATAACTATCCCCCGAGCCTACAGGTGGAAGCTGGGGTGGTGGTGGGGCAGGCGAGCAGCAGCAACATGAAACACAGCAGCAGGAACATGAACGTAGCAATAGCAAGTGAACACAGTAGTGGCAGCAGCAGCATTAAGGAGGCAGAGGCAGGAAGACCTGGCAGCTTAAATAGAGCGGCATGTTTAGGAGAATGTGTTTGGTTGGTTGCAAGAGGGACGAGGTGCGTTACGTGTTAATGTATCATTGGTGCTCGAGTTGACTGCCTGAACTAGCTCGCAGGCTTCGCCCCATATATATTTATTATCAATATAACAACATTAAAAAAAGTTGAACAGAAACTAACCTGTAGCTCTCTTGACAAAGTGACATTGTTCAAATCCATTGGAGCAGGACTGAATCCATCATTCTGCAGAGTCAGGAAGATAAAAGCACAAATTATTTCTGTTTAAATCAATGTGTAGTTAACTTTCATCACTTGACTTGATATAGCTGTAATTAGATTAAAGGTAGGGTAGGTAAGAATGGAGAAACCAGCTCGAGTGCGCTAGAATTTGAAAGTACACAACCGGAGAAAATCTGCCCCTTCCTTCAGACTTCCTTACAGAGCCCCTCCTCCAACACACACGAACGTGCACATGACCAATGAGGGCACGAGATAAGTTTGTGCACAGATGGAAGGCTGACAGGCACTTATTTTAGCCGTGCCGGCTCAGATGATTGGTCGTGCTTTTTACAGCGCCACGGCTTCCACAGATGACATTTTTTTTAATGTATATGTTAAGAGCATTCCATGGAATATAACAAAAAGTGTTTCTGAAGTGAATTACCTACCCCACCTTTAATGTCCGACTCAAAGCTTTTAGGTATATTTTCTTTAAAAAAAACACATGACTTGGATCAATAAAGTATCTATCTATCTTGACTGTTGTCCATAAAAAAAAGAAACTGCAGCAGATATTTCCTAATCCAAAAGATTCATGCTTTTCAGTATTAATGTTTTAATTAAAGCAAGACACTAAAGTGCTTCGTGAGGGTAATTCTTGCAGGGCAAAATGGTCGTCCTTACACTTCATTTTTCAATGGGACTTTATTATAAATGAAATTGGCTGAACACAGTGAAAAAACAATACAGCATATTTTTATTTATTTACGTTATTATAAAGAAAAACATTTGTGACATCCTTATTATGCAATCATGATTAAAGGTAATATCACAGAGAATAACACATCAGGATGTTACCTGAGAGTCGGGGGTCTTTCGTTTTTCACTCTCTCGTTGTTGGATCACGGACTCTCCTTCCTTGGACCGCTCGATGTTCCAGCCCATAGCCAGCATGCTCTTCAGAGACTCCTTCACTGGCCAGCGGTACGTTTCTCTCTCCTACAAATTCAACACACACAAGAGGAACCACCAGATGTAGAAGTTCAACACAGGGGAAAACACTTACTGTATACTGACAGACATTTCGAATGGATTTGCCTTTTTGAATATTATATTAATAAAAAGAAAGGATGAGGCCTAACACATTTTGATGCATGCTTGATGCTCCCCTTGACTGACTGACTGAATGAATAGCCTAATATGATTAAGGTTGTCAAATTTCTTTAAATTGTGTTTGATTTTTCAATGTCAATAATCCCCACATACAGTACACCTAAATCAGGGGTGTCAAACTCAAATACACAGTGGGCCAACATTAAAAAATGGGTACTAGTCGAGGGCCGGACTGGTTCAATGTTTATTGCAGAACGTATTGAAATGAACTTATTGCACATATTAAACCTGGAACTAACAAAGCTTAAATTATTGCCTATAAAAACAACATTAAACATTAAATAATCAGTTGCATTCATTTCTTATGGCTCTATCTGCAGCTTTTCTGGAGTCATTTCTTATGATTACATTTTTCCACAGGCCAACAACAGCTTCAAAAAAACTATTTCCCTCAAAGAAAAAAACAAACATGCCCTGTTGTCTCAAGAAAAAAAGTGCACAATCAAAGATAATGCTCAGCAGCAGTAGCTGTGTAGTACGTACCTTCTCACTCAGCGCTTTGTAAGGCTTCAGCAGTGGATGAGTTTTAGCCTGATCGTCCAGACTGTCTCCTTGTTTCCAGCCTGCTGACACCTGCAACAACAGTTTATTGTATAAAGTGTGGTCTATTGCATTTCATGCTCTTAACTGCAATCATAAAAAAATACAAATATGTCAAAACTTGCTGGCCAGGCATGAGTAGTAGTACTCTTCAGTACCAGACGGTGTTTGATACAAAAAATGTAATATAACTAATCAAATAAAATAAAGTTATCTATGGTATACGGTAGACGGGTTAAATGATCTGTCAGAACAAGGGAGGACAACAATAAAACCAGATGGACAGGGACTCACCTTATCTGAGGACCATTTGTCATGGGAATGCTCTGCATATTTGTTGGCAATGGACTCAAGTTTTTCAGGAAGGGAAATACTGGAAGTGGAGAGAATGATAAAAGTGTGTAATAGTACATCAATTTGAGATAATTGATTCATGTAAAAAAAAAAAAAAAGGTATTTTCAGACCACTCACTTGGCAGTGTTGATGGGTTTGGGATCAAAGTTGCCCTTTGCATCCACTGGTGCCTGTTTCTCCAGTGTTGCTCCAAAACTAGTATCCACAAAGTCAGGCGGTAAGGCTCCAGCGATGGCACACAGGCATAATGTGGCTATCTTGAAAAGGTCAGCATCATATTTCTACAGAAGAGAGCAGATACAGCAGAATAGAGGAATGTCTGTTTAGCTTTTAGATGGACAGACTGAGTAGAGCAAGGCGAAGGAAAGAAAAACAGAGGGATGCTAAACTGAAAGAGAGAAAGCTGTGAAAGTGTGCACGGAGCGATGGCCTGTCACAGACTGATAAATGATTCATCTGTTTTGGCTTCGCCTCAGCTGCAGCGCTCACAGGAACCTCATTGAGCTTTCATTTCACTACCTCTGACGAACAAGAACTTTTGTCTCCTGAGAGCCACACTCGGGTGTGAGAATACAGAATATAGAACGAAGCAGCAAACAGATGTAAGCTTTATGATTGGGATTTAAGGAAAAATATTGCCTGGCCTCCTGATGTATTTGTGGATTATTCTCAGAGATATAAAATAAGCAAAAGGAACCCCAGATTAAAAAAGTACAGAGATGGAATATAGCTTTCCAAAATCATAAATACATTCTTAGTCCGTGCAGATTGGCTAATCTTAATGAATATTCTATACAACAAGGGTTTTTTTGTTGTACCTTCTGAGAAAGGGAGTCAAAGATTCCCCAGAAGAGTTTCTTGGTTAGAAGGAGCTCTTCCTCGGAGGAAACGCCACAGTTGATCATCCCAGAAGGAAGGCAGTAGTACTTCCAGTTCTGCTCGTAGTGGTTGGTCAGAAGCTGGAGAACAGAGATACACGAAAACATAACAATTTGAGTTCAAGTTGATTTAATAATCTTGCGCATCATTGACCAAAAGACAAGGGTTCATAGTGTTACTTATAATTATTCCACAACTTTATAAAAAATAATAATAAATCAGGCGTAATAGTGACAGAAACTCATTCCAGTGTCTCACCCGGAGAGGTATCTGGCAGTATTCACTGAGCATGGGAACATCGAACACCAGCCGTCTGAGCAGCTGCTGCATCATGGAGGGACGTAGGTGCCTGTGAAATGTAGGATGTTCAGTATGGGTTATAACAAAAGCGTTGTTTGAAACATACAGTAGCATGGTGCACTTGGTGCAGTGTCTCTCCCTTTGCTGAGTTTGAATGAACGAAGGCCTTACATGCAGATAGCCAGCAGACACTCCTCGATGGCGTCCCTTTGGGCTTTGGTGAGCGAGCGTCCTTTGGACAGCCGGTAGATGGTCTGCAGCGTGGAGTCGATCAGCTGAGCGTAGTGCTCCGTGCTGCTGAACAGAGCGGCGCAGCGGGTGAGCAGAGGCAGCAGGGCCGAGCCGATGTACCGGTTCATGGCCAACGCCGTCTCCGTGGTGCTCAACAGCTCCTGGGGAACAGAGAGCAACACGTGAGCAACATGAGAGATGAAGGATGGAGAGGTAAAGAACACATCACCCCACATATCAAGATTCACTTAAAGTTATAGTGAATACAGACTCATGGAAACAGGAACAAATCAATTGGTTCTCTAAAATGTACACAGTGGTACGATGGTGATTCACATATTGCAGCAGTAGGGAGTATTAAAGAACTGGTTTAAGTACTGATTATATAAGGATAAGCGAAGGTTTAATGATTCTGATTTTATGATTCACCAATAATTAAGTTAATGTTTCAGCAAACTCTGAGGCAGCCATTACGAGAATTTGTCCTGACTTTAGTTTGCTGAGATTATCTGTCTCAGTCACATCTGATGAGCAAACTAGAAACTCAAACTCAGCTGTGTGCACTGGAATTATTACCGGACGACATAAACACCAGTTGATGTAAAAGGAACAAGATAAAAAACTAGGAAGTATTAAATATTATAACTGCTAGTAGTGAACACTATTTTACTTTACAGGCTTGCAAGTCTTTTTTATGAAACATGGTGAAAGTTGAAAAGTGTTTTCTGTCACTCACCGTGTCCAGAGACGCAGAGGCTTGGAGGTCAGGCAGGAAGCCGACCTCCAACATCTGGAGCAGGAAGCTCTGGTCCTCGATGCCGTACACTCTCTCCAGGAAGAGCACCATGGGGGCCTTGTGGTCCGGACAGAAACAGGCCGACATGTCGGGTTCTGTCATTACCGTGCCATCTGAAGGTTAAACACATTTCAGGGGGGAAAAGTTTTAATGTGTCGTAAACATTGAATTTATTCAGGTAGTTAATGAAAAAAGTTTATACTGTAAGCGTAAATAAATGCGTATTAAAAGTTAAAAGTAATTCCAGGGCTGATAAGCTGCAGACAGTTATTTAAAAAGAAAAATGAGTTCAATTACTCAGAACACAACCTGCTTTCTTATTTGAAGATGTTACAAAGAAAATTGGATATGAAGTACATTTTCTGGTGTGAAGATGGCTTTTTTTCATCAGGGCACAAACTGCAAAGGTGCTAAAAAACACAATGTTCCTCCTCAGAAGGCAGGAGAGGATATAATATATATATATATAAATATTCCCTCCCTCATGAAGCCTGTCTGTGTGACACCGTGGATTTCATGATAAACCTCAAGCTGGCGGAGCCGAGATGATTCTCAAAGTGCAGAGATGATTGATGATGATGAATTTATGTCAGCTGCCTTCACCTGACAGCATGACTCGCATAACATATCTGCCAAATACATTTCATATTTCTAGGCACTATGTGGATTGTTAGTTCAGTAGGCTGGGGAGAAAATTAGATTCTGATATATTGTACCTTGTGTTTGGTCTAAATCAAAATGTTTTATCAGAGTGCTGCGTGTGCGACCAGTTTCATCCTTGAATTCAGTCCAAAAACCATTTTTCCTGCGACAGTGGGAGGCTTCTGTGTGTCCCTTTTGGATGATAATACAACTTTCTTCCCTGCTTGATAACATTGCGTGTTTTTGTGGCAGCACTAGTTCTGTTTATCTTTTGATATTTAACCATCAACATCTGCATGTATGACTTAATGAAGTGAAAAAAGAGCCACCAGCACTGACATACCTTTATTAAGCACAGGCATGTTGAGCGGGATGCTGATGATCCCCACCAGGTCTGTCGTTGGAACCAGGGACTGCAGGATGGCTCGGATACGCAGCGCCTCACCTTTACCTGCATTGATAAGCTGTAAGAGACACAAACGGGGAATATTCAGCTTTGTATTTCATCCAAGTCCCTACAGTAGTCTCTGTTACTGTATTGAGGGTCAAAATAGCAACACAAGTACGTTTGTGCATGACAAAAAAGATCCTCACATGCATCTCTGGAGCGCAGCGTCCCAGCAGGTCAATAAGAGCCGAGTAGAAGGACATGATGGCGTTGCCCATGTGAATAACTTCTCCTTCTTCCTCACCAGAACTGAAACAAAAATACAACACACTTTGGCATACTGCAAACCTCACACGCACAAAGAAAAACGACATATTATACGCTCATAAATTGAAAGGGCAATAGATGGGCAATTTTGTGAGCATGTATAACTGTTTTGGCCCAATATCTGATCGTTTAACAGGCCACAGTGTTTCACGTATTGATTTTGACCCGCTTCCCAATCCCTCTATTCTCACATCATGCAATAATAACCTTCCCCATTAAAATGCAGCCAGCGTACAACATCCTTTGCATACTGATGTGAGCAGGCAAGGCCCCAAAACGTTATTCAAATCTTTACTCACAGCTTCAATGTCTGCCTAATTCTTTTCTCATAACCCTTTAATCAGACAAGTACATCTGTATATATACCAATTACTTTTTTAATTGTATAATCTCATTACTGATTACTAGTAACTTGACCAACACTGCTCGTATGTACAGTATAAGGGAGAATGAGTGGATGTGCTTTGAATAACTTTTAGTTTAGTTTCTCTAGTAGTCTCTTAGTTTATTGAACTTTTCTTGTGGTAAAACAACACTATCAGACAAAACAGAGTATTCTTAAATGTCTTAAAACTTGTATGAAGGATAACATTTATCTAAACTAACCATGTTCAACATTAAGGTATGTTGCACGGTGGTTATTTCAAGTTTATGACCCTTTTGTTGAGCATTTAAATCAAGTAATAAAACGTTCCTATCGAACTGAAAGTAAAAAACTCCCTTTTATCTCGTCTCAATGATGTGATGTAACAGTCAAACTCATTTATATAGCACTATTAAGACACCTTATAACTAGGAATAATGCTGGTTGGCTGAGCTCAGCAGCACACTGGCTAATCTAATTCAATGTAACAGTTCACCACAAAGACACAATTAATAGGAGCCTATATCACTAGGGACTGCTCAGTGGGTTTTAAGTGTCTCAGGATGATATAAACGCTGAATCACAAGCTTTTCCACCTTAATTAGAACAATGCGTGTGAGAAACTGGCGTGGATTCCTACCCATTATTGACGCCGGCGGCGCTCTCGGGCAGGTCGAGGGCGGGATTATCGGAAATCTTGATGGCCTCCTGCATGGCGGCGAGCAAACCCTGACCTCCCTCTCCCCTGAGGGCGGGGCCGAAACACTCGGGACGTCTGATCAGCAGCTTCACCACCACGTTAGCATTCTCCTCCACACTCTCACCTGGAAACACAGCACAGGATTATGGACATATTTGAAGGGGGAAGTTTTAAATAGAACACTTCAGAATCTACTTTATTTTTTAGGGGTGTCCAATTATAAGAATTTACATAGTCAAATCTGATTAGCCAAGTCCTGCATATCGTCAAAATCTGTTTCTTTTTGATTATTGACTGACGCCATTTGTTTTGTGTAGGTGCATTGCTGTCAGACTACTTGCTTTTTGTAATTGTAATTGGAACTTTGCATTTTTTCACAATTGTTTCCCCTATAGGCAAGCCACAGACAGCTGTTTTTTCATGCCAACTCCTAAATGCTCATAAATCGTAAATATCTTAAATGTTTTGATATTGCTTTGCTCTTACAGTATGTGATTGCTCTGTTGATTAAATGTTTTCTTTTAGACCCCTTTTTAGAACTGACAACTATTCGGGGGTTAGCTATTCGCCCCCTCCTATTAATGTCATGGAATCAGTATGAAAGTCTACCTACCATTGCAGAAGACGACGAACCTCAGGAAGGACAGGAAGCGCTCTCCCTCTATAGGGTTCCAGCCGAGGTCTGGGTAACCCTTAGCAAGAAGCATGGCACAACTCTGAAGACCACAGGCTGCCAGGTATGTCACCACCTACACACACACACACACACACACACAGTTTCATCCCTGGGTATTATAATAGCACACTCTGTCTTTTTGACTGTCAGTGACAGCTAGAAAGCATCTGCTGAGCAAGCGTATTCAAAAGAATCACACAAAATCGACTTCATTTTCACTGACAAAACTTGGGTGGCATGAGGATCTTATTTTTGTCTGAATCACTTTCACTATGCGAAAAGTCAGCAGTGAGGAGATGTCAAATTAAATCATCTCAGCTGTAAATAATGCAGAGTTCCTCGATGTAATGTCACAGAAGATACTTATCATTCATCTACATTTATAGGATATATTACTTTTATAAATGTTATTGTCCCAGGACATGTGTTTTGAGCTGATAGGGTTGTTTCAGTGCACATAACCTAAATAAAAAACAATAAATTAATTAATCTAAAAGTGTTCTAACCACAATATCTTGTTGTTTAATCTCAGCATTTGACAGATCATTTGAATAAAATGTGCAATTTCAAAATCAAAAAAAAGCTTTATCTACCTCAACACATAACCAAACTCTAAACTTACCACTGGTTATCTAAACAGAATGACACCTCTTAATAATCATGGTTCAAGGATCACATTTTTTAAAGCAAATGTACCCATAATATGTTTGATTGTGAGCTAAAGTAACAAACCTTCTCCAGATCCGGCTCCTCCAGGGCCAGAGCCAGGCCGTTGTTGTCCATCACTGAAGAAGCTGCTACATCCAGTGGAGTGGAGCCCCGCATGGCTTCAGAAGCTACACACACACACACACACACACACACACACACACACACACACACACACACACACACACACACACACACACACACACACACACACACACACCACACACACACACACACACACACACACACACACACACACACACACACACACACACACACACACACACACACACACACACACACACACACACACACACACACACACACACACACACACACACACACACACACACACACACACACACACACACACACACACACACACACACACACACACACACACACACACACACACACACACCACACACACACACACACACACACACACACACACACACACACACACACACACACACACACACACACACACACACACACACACACGTTAATAGCAAATAAAACTGTATTTGTTCTGTTCTTATCAACAGGGGGCAGTCTATCTTCATATGTTACTGTGACACTCTCTCTTGCAGTTCAGAGCAGCAGGTAACAACATTGTATCAGTGTTAAAGTGTTAAAAGGAAAACTACATAGTAGTATAGAATCATCCAGATAAAAAAAAACATAGCACATTGATGGTAAAGGCCCTTTAAATATTTTAGAAATGGCACTGAATTGATAATGCTTTTTCATTTCAATGCTATATGGTCATATGAGACACTCAATAAGACTACAAAACAAACCAAAAGGCAATTTTGAGAACAAGTATACAATTATATAAAACATTCATTATCAATATATTTAATGGATATCTGTCTCTCCTCTCTAATATAATGCCACGCACTATTGCTATTAATAGTTAACAGTCAAAGAAATACTCTGATGTTTTGTAGATAATCATTTATAAGTAAGTGAATCCTCAGCGACTGAATGTGCAAAAAACACTCGAGGCCTACATCAATTGTAACACCCCCGTTGGGAACATGCTCTGAAGATGATTGTGTGCCGGCAACTTAGATTAAAAACTACAGTGGTAATTGGTTTGGAATAATAACTATGTTCGCTACGCAGGCAGGGTTTAACATAAACTCAAGGAACGTCTTGTGCAAATATCCAAAATGTAATGTCAGGCATAACAAACTGGTGTGTTCATATTCCTCTGGTGTCCCCACAACACGAGCCCCTCTCCTCTTTCACAGGCAGGAGCGTTACAGCAGCCGTGGAGCAGTGACTCATCAGTCCTGCCCTGCATGACTAAATAACCCCCATACCTCACTTTCTGCCTCCCACTCTCCATTCTTCTCTCGCTGTGTGCTGCCTCCCTCTCTGCCCCTTTCCCTATTAAACTGACACCCTGGTGTAATGTCGGCGATAAGTCTGTGTATGCACTTCAATTAGTTGAACAAAAACCCTGGCAACTCTTCATTTCAGGGAATATTTCGCATTATTTAAAAGCAGCAAAAGGGCAACTTTTCAGTTTCTACACCGAGGTAAAAACTTGAAAAAATATGTAAATGTCAAGGAATACATTACATTACATGTTACTTGTTAGACGCTTTTATCCAAAGCAACTTACATACTCAATACTGTGGGGAATCCCCACAGGAGCAATTTGGGGTGAAGTGTCTTGCCCAGGGACACAACGACATGCTGACTGCAGTGGGACTCGAACTTGCTATCCCCTGATTCGAAGTCCAGCACACCCTCCACTGAGCCACAGCCTCCTCCAAATTCATTTACCTTCTCTCAAAATGTCTTTCTTTCATTTAACACCATATATTTCCTTTCTGAAAAGCATATTTTCTTCAGTACCTCCCAATCATCCTTCATATTGACATGTTTCCATATACTGTATTTTGTAAACCTGTCTCTCAGAATGATATACATGAAGTGTAATTCGAGGAAAATGCTGTACGGCAACTGTCAGAAGATAATAGAGGTGTCTCATTTGAAAACTCCAGCACTTACCCAGCCCCACGCTGCTGTTCTCCAGCAGGTAGCCCAGGTGGTCAAACATGGCTTTCTGGTTCTGCCGGCTAATACGACAGAAGTAGCACAAGAAGCGACAACAGCTGGCCACCATCTTGGGAAAGGCGATCTCCTGTGGACAAAAACAAAACGTTTTTTATTTCTAGACAAAAAGAAGTTGACATGGGCAACACTAGAAACCCATTTAATTTGTCAAACTGCATACCTATTCTTTTTTTTCAGAATTTCGAATACTATTCATATCATGGTCTTAACGTAAAGATCAATGTCTCCTAGACTTTTCTGCTGAGAGTTGCAGTCCATTCGTCCTTTGTTGGAGGTTTCAGATACTGTATATTCCTCTCTATATGACGGCACTCTAGCTGGCAGTCAAAAGTATTTAAAAAATGTATCCATCCTGAGATTTGAGTTTGTCGGGGAATCAGCCCAGGTTTAATATAAAAACAACTTTTGTTCCAAAAAAGATTATTTTCTTCTTGCGATATCTTGCTAATAGGAAAACTTTAAGAGTGAAAAATACAAAATATATTTTTCCACCCCTGCCTCCAGCTTTTATCCTGTTCCTGTTTACCCCCTGTGATACTCTTTCTCATTGTAGTGAGGACATGTTGTGTTGTTTGACAGCAGAACACTCCTTGAGTCAGTAAACTCAGCATGGCTTTCCAATATATAGTCCCAAATAAACTTCTGCTATCTCCAGGCAAGATTTTGTCTTCCATTTCTGTTTGACATATACAGCAGGATACTTTATGGAGTTTCAGACTAAATATATTTAATACAAATCTAAAACTCTTATGTATGAGCTTACCTGACATTGATAAGAGACACAAGAAAACACTTTCAAAGATTTTATCTAACCTTCCCTGTTGCAGGAGCTCAGACATATTTAATCTTTTCTGATATGTCTGGAGGATGCAGAGTCTTATATGCTTGACCCTGATAAAAACTTAAGGTGCAGTCAATAAGTAAAATGTCTTCTCTGTTCAGAACAACGACTGGAAAATCTGTTTTCACCTCTAAACTCTTTTCCATATAATACTTTTCCATTCGTAGCATCCTCATTCTAGTGTGGGTTCAGTCTAAGGTTCTCACAAATCTAACAGTGAAGACATTTCTGTCTACGCTGGAGATTAAAGGAAATTGCAAAAGGAATAGATGAGAACCAGAGGGAGGGAATCCACACGTTATCGTTGGCAAATTACACTCTGCAAATATGAACATCACAGGAAATCTCACTCATCATCAGAGCAGTTTCCATAAATGTTGAACTTTCAATCATGCCAAATGTTTTCCAATCCTAAAAGTCAAAGCAATTTCCTCCTCTTTAATGTTCAGCCCTGTGAAAATGCTCCCTGTGTGGTACTGCTGTGCATGATTGGGAACATTTATTTAAGGTCTGTGTTGAAAAATTGAATTTACACTTATTGTAAGATGTGTATCATAATATATACATTAAGGTGTAATTATAAGAGTAAATATTGCAAACACTATGCACTTACAAGCCGTGGTAATGCCACTTTATATGGCCACAGTAAGCGAAGTGCATGTATCATGTGGCAGTAAACTGGTCAGGAATTTATGTCAGTGACGGCGTGATGAGACTGCCGGAGTCACATGTGACGGCCTGAATGTCTCCCTGAGCTCCTTCTGTCTGAGCTTTAATTCATGCTTGGCACTGGACGCTGCATTAAATCACAACCATCTCTTTCAGCTTCTGTCAGCACTGCCCAAAAAGGACAGGCTTGAGAGGCCTCCTGTCACCCTGCCCTGCCCTCTCCATTACCCCTGTGGTTTTATCTGACTTAGGTTGTTAATCTTGGCTTACTTCCCTCTGTCAGGGCTTCTCACTCAAATAATGGTAGGTAAACAACTGTGGATTCAAACCACAAACTAAAATCCATATTAACAGATTTATGTACTTCTTTAAACTCCCCAGACTTTACTAACATGGGAGTAAGAACTTTTTAAGGGGGCAGCTGTTTCATTAATTTAAACTTGCTTCCTTTGTCCCAAATTCAGGTTAATGGACCCCTGTGAAGTTGTTTTGCAAACTCTTGTTTATATTAAGCGTTACTTACCAAAATACAGTGTGAATACTTGTCCAACAATTGTGTTGAATGCATTTTTTTTACTTTTTTGTAGACATGGATATGTCTACTTGTTGCCACGTTGCTGCTTTTCTAAGAAGATTACTGGCGTCTGTTGGTCAGCAGAATGAGTGTGAAACCAGAGGCAGGAATGTGTATCATGTCACCTACTGTACATTTGCGTGTCAACAACTCGTAAAAAAATGAGTACATTCACCTATACTGTACTTAGCAAGCGTCAGCTTTCTTAACACTAGAACCGCCAACGGGTACATTTTACCCGCAGCTGTTTCTTAATTGTATGTAACTTTTTTTCAATAAAATATTCAAGTCTCCCAGTCTGTGACTTTCCCTGTAGCACCCTCTGTTGTTAAAAATTGTCAATATGAAGTCAGATTGAAAGAATTGCCAAAAAAATTGCCATTTATACCCATTAGCGCCAGCGGGTAATATTTACCTTATAGAAAATGCAGTGATTCTCGCGCTATTGATCTCCGCGTAAACATAAACATGACGTGTTGCTATAGCAACGCCTGTTGTTTACTGCGGTTCCTTATAGATAGAGAGATAGATAGATAGATAGATAGATAGATAGATAGATAGATAGATAGATAGATAGATAGATAGATAGATAGATAGATAGATAGATAGATAGATAGATAGACACTTTTAGCGATATTTTATACGTCATGCTACCTTCACACCAGATATCATATGAAAGCTGAGAGTCCACAGATTCTATTGGTATAAGTTTCATCACTGTGCGATCAAAACTCACTGTTAACCCTGTGTTCTAGTATGATAAATAAAAGAACATTGTACCTTGAAAATCAATGCATTCTAATAGCGGGTACCCGTTGGCAGTTTTAGGTATACAGCGACCCCTGGCGGTTCTAGTGTTAAGCTTAAGCTTGAACTTTTCAATCAGAATGGTTGGAAGTCATAGAGATCCTCTGTATCATTAAGTTGTAACATCAACAGTTCGTAACAACGTGTCAGCTGACCTTGAGTTGAGATGGTTTGTCGAGTTTTTATTTTAATCACTTCGACTGGGTGATAGCACTGTTTTGAAGTGATTACAGTTAATTCAGAAAATCCTTGTGCGGTCATGATTCGTACCTGCAACTTGTCTCCTCCCAGCACGTTGACCATGACCTCCATGACGGTCTCGTGCATGCCCAGCACTCTCATCAGGTTGGGATGTTGGTAGAAAACTTTGTTGTTCATGATGTCACTATGACAGACAAGAAAGTCATTTGTGAAGGTCAACAGTCAAACGTCCTGAGGCAATCTCTATCATAGCTTATCGAAAACAGTTTTCCAAAAGTAAGCAACAATGTGCTCAATTTTGTGATGACAACTATTGAATAACAATATGTTTCACAACTCGTTAAAAAAACTTGGAAGGGAGAGAAGTCACTGCATTATTTAAAATATTTGTTCTTACCCAAGTCCATCAATCATGAGTTTCTCCTCTTCTTTGCCCATGCGTACTGACAGCAGAGACCTGATTTGACCCAGAGACACCAACAGGTTGATAGCATCCTGCACGGAGGCGGCACTGATGGTGTAGGACTTCCTCATGGTCCGGAGCAGCTCCCCGATGCCGTCGTACTGCCTCCTGAGCAGGCTGAACATCACTCGGACCAGCTCTGGATCCTGGATGTGAGACTCCTGAGCCCAGCTGGTTATGGTCTGAGAGATCAGCTCCTTCAGGTTGGCTGGGGACGTGAGAACATCCACACCATTAATACAAATATAGAGTAGGTTCAAGGTGCAAGGCTTTTATTGTCATATGTACATAGCTACAGTGTAGTTACAGGCTCCTCCAACAGTGCAACACAATAAAACAGACAATAGTGCAAATAAAAAAAAAATAGAATACAATAGAAATTGTAAGTAATTGGAATATTGATATATAAGTTACAAACAGATGAATGTTATGATGTTCATTCAAAAGTTCAGGTGTTTAACAGTCTTATGGCCTGTCGGATGAAACTGGTAAAGTAAAGATCTTGCAGATTTTTGTTATCGGTGGCTTATAGTTAGTGAGGTGATGATCTGACCACCACTTTTCCAACTCTTACCATTTCATGTTGTTAGAAAATACTGACAGATAAGATTTTAGACTCTGCATTTTAACTTTTCATAAGATCTGCTCCAGGTGCCATCATGCACTGCATAATTTCAACACATTTGTAATAGGAAAACGCGTTGTTCAACCCACAGTTAAGTCCATCACTCATCAGTGAAATAGCTACTCTTCCCCTCAAACTTGTATTCCTGGAGTTAGTTGAAGTATAAAAGGTTAGGGTATAATTGACTTCAGAGCCCCTATAATTGGCTTATTCTCCAAACTTTTCACACTCTGGAAGAAAATGTATTTGACCGTTTCCAAGGACTTTTAAGAAGCAGCTGTGGGCTCTATTCCCAAGGCACCTTAGAAAGGTTTTTCTTTCTTGAAACAATGACATGTCTCTACCTCGTGCATTTAAAGATAGAACACAAGATAGATATAAAGAGACAGTTGAAGATTAAACACTAGGGGAGAAAACACAAGAAACAAGGTGTTAAGGCTGGGCGATCCTTTGACACTGAGTTTTAAGGTCTCATCAAACTTTAATCTCACAGACAACAACAACAATAAAATAAAACAAGGCACCAATAGTGGACGATGACACATGGGAAAACAGATGTTCACACAGGGGATTGGGATGCCAGCCATGGAAAGAGGAATAAGAATTTTATTTGAGAGATAAAATGAGTTTCTTATGGGACCCCAGTGACAGCCTGTGTCTGAAAAACAATCAACAACAAATGCTTTGTGTTTACTTTCCTAACAATGTGTGTTAATGGCAATTAAGTTGAACTTGGCACACTGACAGAGGAACTCAGTGAACTGCAGTGATGCACAAAGAGGCTGGGGGCTAACCCTCATTGTAATTCCAAAGCTATCGCTGAACTTTTGGTGTTTGAGTCAAACAGTCTAACATCTGTGTGGCAAATAAAGGGTCAGATTCAAGCAGAATCCCAATGAGAGACGGAGAGAGAGAGAGAGAGGAGAGAGAGAGAGGAGGAGATATATAGAGAGAGAGATAGAGAGAGAAGAGAGATAGAGCGATCGAGCGAAGCGAGCTCTAGGAAGATATATCTCTTCTCGCCCTCTATGGATTCGCTCTTCTCTCATATAGACTTCTCTCTCTACAATCTATGCCTCCCTGAGGTGAATGTCTCAGATTCACATCTGCTCTGCGTTATCTCAAACACTGACTACCATGGGAGTCATCACGAAAACAAAAAACGACCCTGACTTCAAGCTAATCTGTAAATGACCACAAACAGTCAATATGGAGCTATCTATAAAAATGTTTCATAGCTACTCTAAGATGTGATTTTAGCAAAGACAAAACACTGGCTGTGCTGTACTGTTGATTGTAGATGCTGCGTCATGTAATATTGAATGATGGCCGAATAGTAATAATTGTAATCCCAAAGAAAAAGTGGTTTGATGGATTTTCCTGTTCTTCAGATTATACACTAGGAAGCCAATACTAAATGTACATATGAGACATTAATATATATATCTTTTTAAATGTAGTATTGGTTGGAAAAGTAGTAACTTGTTTCAGCAATCATCATTTCATATATCTACTTCTATATGATCTAAATCTGGTGTGGATGTCTCGCTCAATCATCCTGAATCACATCATCTGTCCGCTTCTGAAACTTTTCAAAAATGCAGGCTAGGTGTGGGAGGTTGGAGTAAGGCATTAAAATGTAAAGCAGAGTCCTGCGGTGTAGATGTCCATTAGTCCTCCATTATTCGAAACAGAACATAGCCATGCTTTCAGTAAAGGGCAGCAGAAGGGAATATCGAAACCATTGACCCCAGGTCCAAGCTGAAAACGTGTTAAACCCAGGCAGTGTGTGTGCTGTGTCATTTATGATGGATAAATCTGTACCCATTTCAAGGCTTTTCAATAGCAATTTAATGTTTAATGAAAAATGTGGAACATCAAAGAAAGATTTTAAATGCGTTACGGTTTGCTGCCTTCCCATCAAACCACATTGAAGCTCTCGATACGATCAGTGGCAAGTTGATGCAACAACGGTTCAATCCCGTGCAAGCTGTGTAGCCCTGAGATAAAAGTTTAATTGACAAAAGTCTCCCACTGCTACCTGTATCATCCTATGCAATCAGAATCCAAGTATCCACCAATGTTAGTAAAAATGTGTGTTTGTAGTTAGCTTTACCACATTTGAATGCTATTGGAATTAGTTGAACAGGATTGTGTGTTGGACAGCTCATTTGTAAAGCAAGGAATTACTTAATACTTCAGATGTTAATTTGTCTCTGCATCTGCTCCTAATCTTTTAGATTTAAATAAAAAAAACAGCTGTGCTTTTTTGTAGTTTAGAGTGACTTACTGGGAGCGGCCTGTTCCTGCTCAGTGGGTTCTGCCTCAGGTTTCTGGGGCGGACCTTTGATCTTGTAGAGCAAAGCGAGCAGACGGCCTTTTATCGAAGTGTCCTGCTCTTCCTCTTCCTCCTCTATGGGAATTCCTGCAAGGGGAAACACATTTCTGTCAGACACTCAAAGTGAGCTGTCACAACTATTACAAAAGTGGCTAAGTATGTTAAGACGCCAGTATGGTGGTGTTGATTGTGGTGCCAATACTAGATCATGCCAACCACATGTGACTGGTAGCCTCCATTTCACACCAGGCATATAATCAGTGGCGGCTCCAGAGTATCTTTGATATTATAACGCCAGAGAATTTCCACACCTTTAGTGTATAAAACTCCCCCACTACTTGGACTATTCCTTGCACCCCTCTTCTAGCATAAACCCGAATGTCAAACATATTGCATCAGTAACGTGCACTTGTTGTTACAGCAGGATCAGTTTGTGTGTTGTGGACACGACCCGTATATTTTCGCAAGCTGTGTTCTCAACATTTAGCATTTTGCTTATTATTTAATTTAATTTGCTTACTTTAACATCATTTGTCATGGTGGGGCTAAGGTGGGGCTAAGCCATTTCTTGGTATGGCTGTAGCCTACCCCAGCCATACCCTGGCGCCGCCACTTCATATAATGAGTACAACACAAAACTCACTCTGTGTCTTGTTATTTAAGTCAAGAATCACTTTGTGTGAGAAGATATCTTCAGTTTCTAATTAATAGAATGAGAATTTCTAGTGTGTGAATTGCCTAGTCAGTTAAATGATTTAAAAATATAACTCACTAAGCAGTTTATGGAAACTGCAAAACAATATTCGGTTAATCCCCTTTGGCAGGAATACAGTTTATATGCCTGTATTAGACAGTTTTATTATGTGTATATCATTTCTTAAAAGCCTGCAAATTAGCCTCTCTAGAAGTCCTTTATGCCCTGCATGGGCTGCAATTTATTACATTATTCTCATACAGAATATTAACATATATGAATCAACATCGACAATATTTGTAAAGTATAAAACCGAGCTAGCAGTTGGACTCTACCACAGTGCAGTCGCAATTCTTCATGGAAGATGTTGAGTTCTTCCTGGATCTCCTCCGGACAGGGGCAGTCCTCCCCTGCACTGAAATTCAGCAGGATATTGATCTGCAGGAAACAGACAAACATATCCATAAGGTTGAAAGGAGAGTGTTGGGAATGGAATATAAACATATTTCAGATAGCAGGAGGGATGAGGAGGAGTGAGAAATAGGCTCACAAGTGTGTGAAAGAAGGCATAAAGAATGATGGCACACACAGAGAGAAGCACCATTAATATTCGGAGCCATAACTCAATAGCAGAAACCTGCGTCGTCTCCTACAGTGAGAGAGGCAGAAACTGTGTATCCGTCTGATCAATGCAGTGAGGAATAGTATGAAGCTTTTTAAAATCAAGTCTAGTGAAAAGTATACATATATGAGATGATTTACAACTTGCTGGTAAATTATTCTAACTGCTATGTTTGCTGTATGTCACAAGCAGAGTTGGGTGTAACGCGTTACAAAGTAACATTAATATTACTTTTGTCGGTAACGGAGTAATGCAACGCGTTGCTTTTATAATTCAGTAATCACACTACAGTTACTAACATTGCCCGACACGCGTTACTTCGTTACTTTGATAATATCAGTAATCACACTACAGTTAGCCTACTAACATAAAGAATGACTAGATTCTCCCTTTGACAGACACAAGAGGGATTTCCGCCACAGGTTTATATTTACGTAACATTTGCGCGACTTGCATGTCCACATGCAGTGCATAAACATGGCTGAGTCAACAGCGATAACTTGGGGGTGGAGGTATGCCCATTATTTTGAGTTTGTCCGAAGAAAGGATAGGAATGTGACGGTGAGGTGCAAACTGTGTCCAGGCCAGAAGCTTTTATCCACTGCTGCAAACACAACGTCAAACCTCAACAAGCACCTGCAAAGACAACATGCTAACGTGAAGCTAATAGCTAAGGAGGACCTCCGAATCCAGAGTGAGGATGTCGAGTAAAGTAACGAGTAAAGTAACGAGTAAAGTAACGCGTTACTTTATGTAGAGAGTAACGAAGTAAAGTAATATATTACTATTTTTTTAAGTAATAAGTAATATATTTCTTTTTTTGAGTAACGACCCCATCTCTGGTCACAAGCTAACTATAAAACAGACTAAATATACATGAGCTGCTTCCCTGGGCTAAGGCAAATGCAAAGTCCAGTTTAGGCTTTTCTGATGTCTATTCCTGGCAGGGCTTTTTAATAAACCATGGGTGGTACATACAGCAGTCTTTGCCTACAGTATACACCTGCTGCTGACCACTACTCTACTTATTTCTCAGGGATCAGAGTGTAGCTGTAGGGCTGTGATTAAGGGTGTACGGCTCAGAGAAAGAGCAATTAAAAATGTGTTTGAACATGAAAGCTTTGCAGTGGGGCAGATCTAAAAAAATCTTTAAGGCACTGCTGTGTTGCAGGGACTCTTCTCAGCACAAACGCAAAGGATCCGAACACAAACAGAACAGAGACGGCTGGTACTGTCTTGCTAATGGACAGGAAGAATAATGTTGTACCCCTCTCTTCCTCTCTACTCTGAGACACACTGAAAGAGATATGGATGTCGAACGAGGACAACTCATTAGCTACAAAGATCTGAGCTCCTGGCTCTTCAGTGTGCTGACACAGGTATTACACACAGGGCTGAAGAACACTGAAAACAGGGCTGTAAGGGAGAACTGAGATCAGAGGAAATGCTTTACTTTGTGTTATAGTTAACCAATAAGCAGCCAGAGGAAATACTCAATCACAGGTTCACATTGATTTTGAAAAGTATGGGTTTCCATCTTCAAACAGTTACAACGATAGTATAATTGCAAGCTTGTCATTCACTTAATCTCTATTACTCGCAGTATAAAAATATAATAGTGGAGATAAACACATTTATATTGGCCCATTTAATGGTTATCCATTACAAAAATCTATCATATTGTATCCCAATTATGGACTACACGACGATTACCGTGGTGGATGAGTGAATGTGGATCAAAAATAAAAGGTGTCTGCCCCCAGAGTGACCACTGCCCTGATGGCAAAGCACAAGGAAACCTGAGTCTGACCTCTTAGACGAGAAAAAGGCAGATTGCTTCAACATCTGCTATCAGTATAAGTATAAACCCTCAGGAGATTATTTTGGTCTGATGGATAGCACAGACAGCACTACAGTTGGTTTCATTTCCTCACAGCATCTATGCTCTGGTCTAACAGGTATTTCTTATATTGTAAAATGGTGTGTTGTTACACTTGCCTTAAATGAATACTCTGTTTGGTTTATTAAAACCTGTTCGGAGCATTGCATTCAATTTCAAGTCCAACTTGAAAAGAGAGGATTAATGTTGTTTTGAAAGTTTCCCACACAATGAATGAGTGCTGCATTAAACTTCGACACAGTATAATGCAAGTTGCTGCAAAAACTATTTTGGACTCTTAAATGTCAGCTGTTTAACTTTCGATGCACGGTCAACTCACTCAAAGTTCAATTTAGCCTCACATATGGCCCAACGTACCCTTTGGGAAAACCAGCTGGAAATAAAGTTAAAGCTGGGGGGGAGGATCTTTTACTTGTAATTGAACGTCCGTTGCATTCAAGCCGCTGCCAAATGGGTTCATATAATGCTGAATAAGCACACCGCTGCCAGGAAAAGCTCTCTGCCTTTCGTCGTATACAGGAGTTATATATTCCAGAAACATAGCTTTCGCCTTACAGCTAGCTGCTGCTCTGACGCTATCATCTCTCCCATATGGTAATTACTTTTTTCCTGCTAGAGGGGGGAGAGAAAAGTTAGGAAACAACGAAAAGGCATCCTAGGAAACAACAAAACCCTGTGCTCCGGTCTAATTCTCTGACTCTGTCCCAGTCGAGGTTATTGATTATTTTTCCCACAAAGGCTCAGGTGATTTTTGTTCCTTTAATACAGGGGTGTCAAACTCAATTTCTTCGCGGGCCACATTAGCATTATGGTTGCACTCAAAGGGCCGGTTGTAACTTTAAGACTATATATAAATACATATATAAATATTTAATATATATAAAATAATGTATTATATTACATTATTGCCTCTGCATTGGATTATTATCGGATAGGGTAATAACTTCATAATTAACTACGTCTGAAAGCAGAAGTCTAGGGCAAATCATTGCAAGTCTCTTCACTGAGAATATCACAAAATGATTATTAAAAAAAAAGGCAAATTCTAAGAAAAAATGAATATTTTGAAGATAAAAAGTCAAATTATGAGAAAAAAAAGTCAAATACTGAGAAAAAAAGTCAAATTTGAGATGCATTGTGGGATATGTAGTGTATGGGCAACGTGCTTCTGTAAATCGGCATGTAACCGTATAATAAACATATTATATTCTTTCAGAGCTCTTGTGGGGCCGCATTAAATGAAGTCGCGGGCCGGATTTGGCCCCCGGGCCTTGAGTTTGACACCCCTGCTTTAATACCTCGAACCACCTTGAACATAAATGACATCTCAAACAGGTTGTAAACTGTTCTCCTAGTTTGTTGTTTCCACTGCAGTATAGTACCTGCTCATGTGGGGGTGAACGAAACTCTTTGGTCTTCTTGGCAGTGACGGCGGCGGACATTTCAAACGCCAGCATCAGCTCGTTGTAGCGGAACTTCTGGTTGTACTGCAGCTTGGACACGAAGTCGTCTGAGAAGGACACGATGGACTCGATGCGGTGCTTCAGCTCACAGTCACAGAAGTAGTGCAGCAGCTCGCACATCTGAGAAGGAGACGTTATTCAGCGAGGATGGCAATCTAGAGTACATTGAGAAGTTCCAGTGTCTCTTTCTACTGTAACTGTCTCTGAAATGGTTGATGTGTTTTTTTTAAACAGGATGATTTTCATATAAACTGACTTTTTTCTGTTAAACAGGAAGAAAACTCACATATTATAGCATCTCCAAGGAATGATCTGCCCCCATTTTCATAATGCACAGAATAAAGCTTTCTTTTCATCATGTGGACTCTTTGTCATTGATAGGAGCATTAGTATTCAAGCACTGCCTTCCTTTAGCACTCACGCAGTCACTTCTCTGGGAGATATAACTCATACTGAAAAGCCACTGGATTCCTTATAAAAGAGGAATAAGTGAAGCAAATCGGATGAAGGCAAATAAGATGGGGGGGATTTCAATCGAATGAAATCTTAGAATATGAAGTGATGGACTTATGGTTATATGCAACGATGTCCAATTGAATGGCTGAAATGTGTGTGCATGTTTTCACTCTGTTTATCATCACCTGGCGTTTGACGGGCTCGGGCAGGGACTTTGCCAGCAGACCTTTGATGAGCGGTTTGCTGTCTTTAGTCTCGTCCTCTCCCGCCTCCACAGCCTTCTCCTCGTTCTTGCTCACTTCCTCTTTCTCCCCCGCCACGGCCACCTGGTCCCCCTTGGCGTCCTCGCCCTCCTTGGCCTCTCCGAACACGTTGGGAGCGATCAGGAGGAGAATTATCCTCACCTCCTCGCTGGTCAGGACTCCCATGGTTAACAGCGTTCCTGTCAGCTTCAGGATGGGGACGAACTGGTACTCCACGCTGCCGCCCACCGGGTCTCGGATGTGCGTTCCTCCGCCCTGCACGGCCTCGGTGAGCATGCTGATGGCCTTTTCCTTCAGGCTGCCCAGAGGGATCTCCGGGCTGTACAGGTACTGCTGCCGCCTCGTGTTGATGATGCCGACGGGCGAGAAGTTAACTCGAGGTTTGAGAGAGGTGCTCAGGTCCACGCCAGGCAGCGAGTGCCGCTTGGACTCGTCAGGGAACAGTTTGATGGAGCGAGTCTCCGCGGTCACAGGGATGATGAACTCGTTGTTCATCATTAGGCGAGCCTCCTTTGCCGTTTCAAGATGGATGCTGGCAACGAGAGAAATAATGAGTTCAATCATCATACACATCTGGAGGCATAGGCCATTATGCTTAACAGGAAATAACCATTCAGTATTCCAGTCCTAAAAATAAGCTCCCTAAGTGTTTTAAATGTGCAATCATTAAGATTTGTATAGCCCCACAGCACAGAATTACCATAATGCATCTGTGGGAGGTGACAGGGCTGTTGATCAATACCAGTGAGTCAGCAATTATGTGACAAATTGCAGAGACACCGAGTTCTCAAACACAATGTGGTTCATAATAATAGTTTTGAAAAGAAAACTCTCCAGCCACGGGGATGTTAACACCCTCTTTTAATGATGTTTGTTTGGTGATAATGGAAGAAAGCACTTTGTCTTGAAAGTAGCAGGGGAAATTTATAATGTAGGATTTATACTAATTATGTGCATCTGCGGTTCAGCTGAGAATTTACTGACATTATGTGAGGAAATGAGAGGCGGGATTATACATGATGACATCGAGGTATAATTGAGATTAATTATGAATAATTTATTTTGTGGTCTTGTGTGCAGCTCAGACACTTTTTAGTAAAGTGTGCTGGAGTTGATGTTGTGATAATTCATAATACTAGCGTCGTTCATCATTTACGGTATGTCTCTTATTAATACAAATATTTCAAACGGTTTCTTCTCTTATTGTTTAAATGCAGACAAAACTATTTAATTTCCCAAACTGCAGGAAAAATGATTATAATGTTATATTTAAAAACAACTGCAAATACCACACCTGATGAGGACATTGTAGAAGCCCTCCCTCAGCATGCCAGACAGGTACTGGTTGTCGATGGTGTAGAGCAGCTGTGATTGGTCCAAGTGGCTGCAGAGGGCGTGAGCAACGCGCGTGTTTCCCAGCGCACAGAGGGCACTGTACAGCTTCAGAGTGTGGTAGTGGAACTTTCTCAGGCCTTCAAGCTCAGATAACTCCAGGATGTCCAAACACCTGGAAGAAAGCAGGAGATTAATGAGTTAATGGAGAACTATTTACACTATTTAAACTGCATATTACCCAACACCAAGATGAATTCATGCCCAAAATGGTGGCAAAGTGCTTGTATATGTACCTACTCATCTAAAAGACTGAAGTTGTTTTATTATTTTACTTTTAGCATCAATACTGTATAATCACCACATCAAAACCACATAACCTTTGAGACAGGGAACCTTCAGTAAACAACCAGACCATGAAAGGAAAGCATTAAAACACACTATACATTACTGAGTGACATCGGTGGGATTTCAAATCTGCAACTGACAACATGAGAGTTTATGGGAAATGTGCTCCTAATACTAACAACACAATGCCATTTGATTAAGGCAGAATGTATTATTATAGTGTTTCAAAGTGTTATTATGTCTTTCAAAAGTCCCCACCACTTTTCAGTTTCCTTTTCCTAGATAATGTAAGTACTTCATAACATTGTATATACAGCATCTGCAGCAGAAGAAGGTGTTTTCAGTTTAAGGCAACATTGCATCCATGCTGCACACCTGTTCTCCTCAGGAATATGTACGGCCAACATCTCCAGCGGCTCCAGACACTGCACCACCCAGCCGTGCCTCTCGCTGACCCGAGCCACCTCCACCCTGAGGAAGGTGTTCGGCATGCGGCTCCACAGCACGGACACGATGGTCTGCACATCCATGCGCGGCGGGCACTGCGGCACCGGGTTCCTGCTCTCGCTCTTAAATATGGCAGACGAGAGCGGCATTGCATCCTGGGAGCAGAGGGAGAAGACGGAAATAATATAAAGGGACAATATTTTATAAAGGTAAAAAATTTTAACGAATGAATGGAACAGGTGCTTTTGAAAATGTGCTTTTGGATGCACACCTTGATCTTGACAAATTCAAACTGGAAGAGGTTTGCACTGGTGGGGCGTACGAACACAGCTGGGAACAGCTTAGTATTTGGCTCCACCTGAAACAAAACAAAGCTCAGTCATTAACATCAGAGATTTAGTCATTTCGATTCATGGGATTTATCAAGACATTGAATTGAAACAAAGTCAGCTCTGAAGGCAAGGCAAGGCAAGTTGATTTATATCGCACCTTTCAACACAAGGCAATTCAAAGTGCTTTACAAAAATGAAAGACTTTAAGAGCATTAAGAAACATATTATAAAATGATATCTAGAAACACTCATTTAAAAGCAAAGATAAAAAGCAAAGATAATAAAAGTTACAGTGCAGTTTAAAGGTAGGGTAGGTAAGTTTGAGAAACCGGCTCGAGATCGCTAGAATTTGAAAATACACGACCTGAGAAAATCTGCCGCTTCCTTACAGAGCCCCTCCTCCAACACACACGAACGCGCACATGACCAATGAGGGCACGAGATAAGTTTGTGCACAGATGGAAGGCTGACAGGCAGGTAGGCCATCCAGTTATTTTAGCCGGGCCGGCTAAAATGATTGGTCGTGCTTTTTACAGTACTACAGCTTCCACAGATGACATTTTTTTATGGATTTTTTGTCAAAGCACTTAAGATATTCATTGCTATCGGGATGTTAAGAGCATTCCATGGAATATAACAAAAAGTGTATCTCAAGCTGGTTTCTCAAACTTACCTACCCCACCTTTAAGATATGAATATATCAATTAAAAGCAGCGGCAAAAAGAAAAGTCTTCAGCCTGGATTTAAAAGTAGCCAGAGTTGCAGCGGACCTGCAGGTTTCTGGTGGTTTGTTCCAGATATTTGGAGCATAATAATAACTGAATGCTGCTTCTCCATGTTTAGTTCTGACTCTGGGGACAGAAAGTTGACCAGTCCCTGAAGACCTGAGAGTTCTGGGTGGTTCATAATTTAGCAGTAGGTCAGAAATGTATTTTGGGCCTAAACCATTCAAAGCTTTATAAACCAGCAACAATATTTTGAAATCTATTCTTTGACACACAGGAAGCCAGTGTAAAGACTTCAGAACAGGAGTGATGTGATCCACTTTCTTAGTGTCAGTGAGGACTCGAGCAGCAGCGTTCTGAATTAGCTGCAGCTTTCTAATAGATGTTTTAGTGAGACCTGTGAAGACACCATTACAGTAGTCCAGTCTACTGAAGATAAAAGCATGGACAAGTTTTTCCAAATCCTGCTGTGACATTAGTCTTTTAATCCTAGATATGTTCTTTAGGTGATAGTAGGCTGATTTAGTAACTGTTTTAATGTGACTGATGAAGCTCAGCTCTGAACTAACCTATAAGTGGAATCTAAGCTCAGCATTGTGCTCCTTCTAGTGTCTGTTCTGGTTTCAAATCCAACACATTTCACAAGGCTTTTTTCGCCTCTAAGCTCAGGGCTTAGCTGAAAGTTCAATAACTATCCATTGGTGTACTGATGACAGCCATTTAAGACAAAAGAAAAATACAAAAGGAGCTAAAACAACTGAAAGCATAACAAGACGGAAAGCTTTTAATCAAGTTTAAGCCCCTGGAATCCCTCAGAAGGCTTCCTTCTTTTATATCTATTTGAAATTCATGACTAACTCAAGAACTGAGATGAAAAAAGAAAAGAGACAATAACAGAGAAACAGAAGTGAAGAAAACTTGGGAGATAGATCTTCTAAAGGCATCATTTTGTCGTCTAGTCAGGTATTCGATTTGATTTGTTAAACTGGGAGATCAGTGAGGCGAGGCGAGGATTACTGAGCAGATGTCTGTTTTTGTTGAGACTCTTGGATTGAAAACCAATGAGAATTTAATGGTGTATTTTCCTAACAGCCTTTCTTCAGGGCTAATTGACTGCAGTGCAAATGTGTTCAAATCACCCAAAGGGAAGAAAGAAGGGAGAGTGTTTGTTTTAAATGTGTGTGCAGGCGACACAATTATGTCTGAGTGGCATCATACCAAAGATTTTAAACAAAACACTCAAAAGTTCCCAATCTCCGAATATAATAGTGTTGAGAAGTAGTAAGCAGAATTTTAACAACATTTAAATATGTTTTCTCCAGATTGAAAAGACAATAAAACAGCATGCCAACTCTTAGAAACACAGAGGAGAAAGACTGTATATTTACTACTGGAAAAAGAATAATAATACTGAATGATATACTGTAAGGCAGACTGTCCCCCCATAAGACTGTGCTATCATCGTTAACTACCTGATATGATGTGGACAGCTCCTTGCCGTTGGCAGTGAAGGAGACGAGGCCAGTGGCCAGGTCGATCTGACAGCCGATCTCCAGGTCAGAGTTGGAGCGGCTGGAGGAGGACGGGTCGATGGCGTCCGCTCCACACACGATGTAGCAGTTACTCCTCTGCACACTGCAGCCACAACAGCAGGAGACAAGCTTAGCAAGCACAAACCCATTTCAATATTACCAACCACAGGGCAACAAATGAAAAAGAACTATTATATGCACATTATATTTTCATTATCTCACATTCATCACTCTGTGTTGACTTTCGTCGCATTCATATTCATTCTGTTACACACAGAGCTCTTTTCAGCTAAATATGCTGTGCCATTAAAAGGTCATATTTTAGATCAGTATGGCAACTTAGTTACAATCATAAATGTTTGTTAATCAACATTAATTTGCTATTTGACAGAGGTTATGAAATACTTTGGATGAAGTTAATGTCCAACATAATTGTGCCTTTTCTTGCAATAGCCAGAAGTGCATTCACTCACAACTATCGATATAACTATGACTCTCTTTTAATCTTTTAAAAGTTATCATGCAACACAAAGCCCTACAGTATTATCATGGATCAACTTTATTAATTGTAAGTTGAATTTAGACTTAAAGGTAGGGTAGGTAAGAATGGAGAAACCAGCTCGAGTGCGCTAGAATTTGAAAGTACACAACCGGAAAAAATCTGCCCCTTCCTTCAGACTTCCTTACAGAGCCCCTCCTCCAACACACACGAACGCGCACATGACCAATGAGGGCACGAGATAAGTTTGTGCACGAGATGGAAGGCTGACAGGCAGGTAGGCCATCCAGTTATTTTAGCCGGGCCGGCTCAAATGATTGGTCGTGCTTTTTACAGTATTACAGCTTCCACAGATGACATGTTTTTATGGATTTATTGTCAAAGCATTTAATGTATTCATTGCTATCGGGATGTTAAGAGCATTCCATGGAATATAACAAAAAGTGTTTCTGAAGTGAATTACCTACCCCACCTTTAAGTATTATAGTAACATTTGTTAGTGTGTTGCAAATTACTGAAAAAGGTATTGTCAAAAAAACACAAATGTACATGTTTAGATGATTAATATCTAAAAAGAAAATTCACACAGGGTCCTTAAGGCGAAGCCGAAGCCACTTACTGTATGACCTTCCCTAAATTACTGTATGCTGGCACATATCTGGTATTCCTAGAAACTCCTTAATTTCCTTAGAGAACCCAGTAAAGCTGCTGACTTCCCCATCTACATTACACTTTTATGATGTCCTATAAAATCCAGATATTAAAATAAAAGTGAGCTTGCCTCTCATGTACCCGCCCTCTCTCGTCTCCCAGGGTGACGGTGACTCTCCGCATCTTGTTGAGGCTGAAGTCTTTGCTATAGAAATGATAGTCCGGTGTGACCCAGCCCACCCAAATTGAGGCGGGGTCCTGTCCGGCAAACACTCTCACTGAGTGGTAGTACTGCCATTAAAAAAAAAACACACAGGTAAATTACAAAGAGCAAAAAAAAAGGGTAGTCATCAATAAACAATGTTTCTAGACTTGTATTTTTGAGAATTGTATTTACAGTTGTGTTGTTTCCAAAGTCAACAGTTCCATCTTCTTTTGGAAGATGGCTGAAAATAAAAATATTTACAAGTTATAAGAACAGCAAAGAGTGTTTTGTATATTGCACTAAATCATCTAATTAATCAATCTGACATAAACATTTTTATATTTGTCAATGCTGTGACAATGACCTGAGTTTCAGAGACTCGTCCAGTATCTTGTCTGCAGAGTAGAAGTCCACAGGCATGCTCAGTCTGCAGTAGGTCATGTCACTGTTGCTGTTCTGCGTGCCGAACGTCTTGTGGGTGACCTTGAGGCAGGGAGGGTTGTCTACTGTCCCGTCGATCCTCGTCACCTGAGGAGTTATGAATCAGAGGGAGAGAGCGAATTAATCTCCAAAGAAGTGGATTGATACGCAACATCAATAGGTCCATCAACTCCAGCAGCACTGTTCAATATAGCCATGTTGGTATGCATAGAGAAAGTTAGAGAGCTGGTCAAAGTCTGGCCCTTTTTATAATGATTGCCCATTTCCAAGTGGTGACAGAGCATGCACTATACCCACAACAACCAGGGTTTAAAGGGGTCCTATTATGCTTTTTGGGGGTTCCCCTTTGCTGTGGAGTGTTATATAGGTTTTTGTGCTTGTAAAAGTTCTGCAAATGCTAAAATCCCAAAGTTCCCTCCAGAAGAACACGTTCACTGTCATATAAAAAGGTTTTAATGCCAACAAATTATATTAAAATTAAAATGTCAAAGCTGCATGTTACCAATATCTGAATGAGAATCTCTGTTGCAACAAACATAACACGACACTCCTAACAATACTAATTTAAATGTTTAATCACCTTGATATGCTGGTGTTCTTTGGGTATGTTGACAAAGGTAGGAAGGCGCTTGCTGAACCACATGGTGATGGCTCTGTTCATGTTCACACCAAAGGGCTCGAAGCCCTCCTGGAGTCCACACATGGTGTAGTACTTGAAAGTACTGGCGTCCTTTCCCAGGTTCATGTGTCCCACCTGTCCGATGCCCATACTGCACACAGGGATGAAACCTGGAGGAGAGTTAGGAGACATTGGTGGTCAAGTCAATATCGGTCTAAGTATGAAATATAATTCAGTCATGCTATCCCTTAAAAATAAAAGGTTCCTTTCTTTTACAAAGTTGGACACCTTTCTTTGCACATTTAATTAAAAAGTTACTCAGACTTCTTTCCTACCCTGACTGATGTGATCCGTCTTCCCGCCCTCAAGAATAACATTTAATTAGTCTGGTGTTTTACAAAACCTTGGAGAAAAATACCTCGGGACATACAAAAAAAGGAAAAAGTGGAATTGATCAAAGTGTCAAAAGACAAATGTTCAACTTTCCCTCATTCCCAACGCTGCTCAGAGTAATTACAGTCCACGGCTCTCCTGCCAACAGCCTGAGGTCTCTCCCTTTCCTTTTGAGTCGTGCATAGGGAGGGCTTTCCCTCACTGCCACCGACACAACCCCTAAACGTTATGCAAGTGTGTGATGACATCTCAATCATATAAATGAACATATAGTGTCCTCTGGCAACTTTTTCGGCCAGTGCTAACTTCGTTCATCGATAACAAGTTGGCAACACCGCACATACTGCATACCACATACTGGGTTCTTGGCTTAAATTGAGCCTGCTAAGCAAAGAAAGTAGAAGAAAAAAACACGTCTATTGCTACTTAAATAAATATATTTCAACTACTAACACTATTCTACAAGGATTTGGCCCTTAAAAAGCCTTTTGTAATATATATCAGTCATGTAAGCATAGTTTTTTTAATTGTGCATACACTGGAATGCATCAGTGCATCAACCATAACAATTAGTTTGATTACCTTACTTCTCTCTGTCTTTTTCTAAAGGATGGTTAATTTAGTCATTGGCCAAAGCCACAAAGGACTTCATTAAATTCCAACAACATTAGCATTTTCTACTGTTTTGCCTCATGCCAAACAAACCCAGTCCTACCTCTAGAGATACTGCGGAGGAAACAGACAGAATAACTGAATAATTTCATCTCTAAAGTTCACTGGAATATGGAGCCCTCACCGTCCTCCGTCTCAAAGTCGGTGAAGCAGAGCTCAGAGCCCTTGCTGGTGATCAGGAGCTCTCCGTTCAGGGTGAAAATCATGGATTTGTCCTCCATGTTGATCATGCAACCGACCACGTCGCCCATTTTCCAAGGTTGTCCAAAGTAGCGGCTTCCTGCGTGCATTCGACGACCCTTCAGAAAAAACAAGAAAGCTTTAAGTTTTTGCAGGATATTTTATGACCTAGTAAAATATTGTAATCCAACAGATGCTACTGTAGCTGCAAAAATATTAAGGTGTGACAGCTCAATTTAAGACGTTTTTCCATAGAGAGGCGAAGTCCCTCCCTCTCCGGGGGACCTCCATGGGACCTTATTTCGGAAAAAGTATGTAGTGATTTTCACCTCTTTTAATACTTTTCGCCTCATTCTGAAAGAAAGAAGTGAAATGTGCCAACGTGACGGCCGTCTTGGTGTGTGGTGCGAGACGGGAGATGTAGTTCATTGAGCGGTTTCACACAAAAAAAAATGTTACTTCACAGTTTTACGACACATTTACATTTTTTTGACTTGCAAAATTATCTTTTAAATTGACAAACATCATATGTGTAATTCGTGGCACAATTCAAACGGGATCGAAAGATAATCTTTCTCTCGCCATTGACTTCAATACATGCGGGACCGGGATTCTGGGATTTGTAGTCTTTCTAGTTGCGTATTTTTCGTAGTCTTATATTTCAACAGTTTTACGACAAACTGTGACTTTTTTGACATGGAAATTATTTTTTAAGATTGACAAACATCATATGTGTAATTCGTGGCACAATTAAAACGGGATCGAAAGATAATCTTTCTCTCCCAGTTGACTTCAATACATCATTTTTCCGAAATAAGGTCCCATGGGTCGGAAGTAGATGGGCGGGACTTCGCCTCTCTATAGCAAAAGCAAAGATTATGTCATTTACAATGTATGTTTTTACACTGCACAATTACTTTTCCCCACAAAGGTTTAAAATGTGCCTCCAAACATACTGATTTATTATCAATATTTCACAATCCACAGAATTTAATGTTAATCAAAAGTGTTATTAAGTCCTTTAAAACTCAAATGACTTGTTACCAGGCCAGTCATCTTCCCTTATGAAGCTCAACACAAGTTCAACCAGGAAGACCTTCTTACTCATTCATTTACTATGCTATGTTACTACTCTCTCTCCTCTCAATAAGTGATCGGGGACGCAATCCCCCTCCACCCCTTTTCACCTCCTGTCCCTCTGAATCCAGGGTCAAGCTAAGCCACTAGTTCAGACCGAACCCAACTATCCATTCACCACCACCAGTGTCTAGACCCCGGGGGGTTTCATCAGATCGGTTCTCCCCTCCCGAATGATACTCCTGCACAACGGGGCCTAATCGCCAAAACTCCATTACATTCATTCGTGTATTCCTGGCAATAAATATGTATTCTTACATCAAAAACGTCTCTCCTGATTGAAATATCACTGGTACAGCCATATTAAAGCAATGATGGATAAATAATGGTTACTGCTGAAGTTAAAAGGTATAAAATGTCCTATCAGAGCTCGTTTACCCTGTATCCATCGAACACGAAGGCCTGGTTGTCCGTCCCCAGCTCCACATCGGGCCTGCAGCCGGGTCTGGCCCAGCCCACCCTCATGTCTCCTCCACTCAGCGCCTCAAACTCAAAGTACCACTTCCCCGTCTTCAAGGCGTACGTCTGCTCCACACGGAAGAAGCGGATGGTCTCGATGTTCTGATCATCCAGCGTGTGGAGAGCTAGAGATGTGAGAGGCATGAAAATGTATACTTTTACTTTATTATTAGGTACATTAAATAATAACTGACACAATATAAAGGATATGAAGCTAAATGTTATAGGCAGCACTGTCTTCAAAGAAATTAAATAATATGTTGGCTGGACAAGATAGACCGTATATCTTTGTAACACTAATTCAAACCATTTCCATATTCGTTTTAATAAAAAAATGTTTTGCCAACTACGAATACTATACTCCCGTTTGAGTTGACACTTGAGTTACATGTTAAGTACTGTAGGATTATGACCTAATTATTCACATCAATACTGCTTAAAATGTGAACTAAAACACAGTCGTGCTTACAGAAAACATTTTAACAACATTTTCTTACCCTCCTGGTCTGGGGGGTCGATGTCATATCCATATCCAACCATAGTCCTGATAGCCTCTCTCAAGCTGTCTCTGTTAGATTTCTTCGTGCGCTCGTCCAGTAAAGCGTACGGCACCAGGCGAGGATTGCGCCTGCTCTTTAAATCCTGAAACAAACAAGGAAAATATGTTAACACAATAAAGAAGTATGTAAGGACAAACCAAGAACACAAATAAAAGTGTCTCCCAAAAAAATACCTTTATTACTTTACTGTAATTTAAAAGACAAAGGTTCTGCCTTGTCCTTTTTAAATGTAAAGATGAATGACTGTTACCTGCTGGATGCCATAGGTCCATCCTTGTTTAATTCTGTCTTTGGCCCACACGTTGTGTGCATTCTCGGCCAGTTTATCAACCAGAACCTCCTGACCTGCATTCAGTTTCACGTCAGAGAGGTCCTGTGGCGCAGGCTTATATCCATTAGACATCATGTAGCTTTAGAGGAAAGACAAGAGTGCTTCAGCATTTCTTCTTCTTCATAACATTATTATTAGTAAGGTCAGTATCATATAAAGTATTGCTAACTTACTCTTTGGGAAGTTTGACTTTC